GAGAGCTTCCATTGCCCCTTGATAAATATCAGATTGCAATGATTCGTTCCAAATCAAAAAATCCATATTCTTTTGGTTATCAAATAATTCATATAGCTTTTCCCCAATCTTTTTTCAAGAATGTTACTTTAGGGAAAAAGTTCTATGATGAAAGTGAGATTGAAAAATACAAAGAGCAATACAAAGAATCAACAGAAAAGATTCCTCTTGTATTTGTCCTCGGATTCAATGATCCTTTGAATGAGCCTTTCAAAGGAAATTTTGATTATATTCGTGGTCAAACTCGTATCAGAGCTTTAATAGGTAATGATTCTTTTTCTATTTAATCACTTATTAAATCAAAGAATCTTTTCATAGATCATTCATTCAGAAAAGCTGGATATTCTCAATATGATGAAAAACAAGAAAATATGCTCAGGAATCGAATTGGTAAAGAAATGAGCTCCAAGAATAAAAATCAACAAAAAAGATCAGATTCTACACGGGTTGAAGAGGATGAGCAAGAAGTGGATCAAACTGAAATAGAAGATAATTCATTTGAATCAATAAAAAATGATTCAATATCACCATTCGATATGATGGAGGATGACGATGAAAATAGTCTTTGGGAAAAAAATTTTGAATAAACTAGAATAATTGAAAATAATCAAGATTAAAATAAATTCATTGAATCCTTGAGTTTTCGCTGTCATAGATTTTTTTCAAACACTTGATTCAAAATCATTGGAATTCTGATTTATTGAAAGATGATTCGTTAGTTAGAATAGATTCCAATATCACAAGAATATATTTCGAGTTTGAATTCAGTGGTTCTTATATCAGCACGAAAATCAAATTATAACTTTAGAATTCGTTTATTTGCTAATGAGAATAAATTTCACATCTTTCTGTATCTAATTGAATATGCTTGAATGATTTTCAATATTGATTCAAAATAAGTAAAAATTGACTCAAATTTTACTCAAAACTGACTCAATTTTACTTCAAAACGCTTCAAAATTGTTTGAATCATCATTGAATAAAAACGCACTTTTTTGAAACCTTTTTGAAACAAGTTTGATTCAAAACTGTTGATTGGGTCTCTAATCATTTTAATCATAAATTAATTTCAAATGATTACAGTTAATAGACTATCAGAAATCAAATAGCAGCCTGATTGCCATGAAATCACAATTAAATCAATGGCAGATTCATATAAGTTTAATAAATGTATTGAATTTCAAATTCAAATGTATTATTTTAGTAATGAAAATTTAAAATCCAATTGATTTATTTCAGTTGATTTGATTTAGATTCAGATTAATTGTGTCTAATTGGATTTACGTTAAGTTGATTAAAGTTTCAAGATGAACAATCATCTCAACAATCAACATGGATAATAAATAATATCATGAGAATATGTTAATCAAAAGTAAAACAAAATAGTTTTGGTGTTTAATTTAAATTGTTGGTGTATGATAATTTAATTTACACCCAAATAGTATATTCAAATTACCTTAATGATTAGCTGATTTTTTTTGCTCGATTTAAATCATTTCAATTGTTGTTAATTTTGTTAATCCAAAATTACAAACATAAAAATTTACATTCTCATAAATTTCAATGTTAATATCATATAGAAAACTTTAATCACAATTAAAGCCGTTGGTTACAATTAGACAGAAATTGTTATCTTAATTGTTGGACCAACAACAATCAAGGTAACATGATTGACATATAAATTTCAATGGTCATCAATGGGATTTCAAAGTATATACAAGTTGACCTTTTAATTTGTGATGAGGAAAAATTTTTCAAAAGGAAACGGAAATTGAATGAGAGGAAATGATTTAATTGTCACACACAATTTAGTTTAATCATCAACTAATTAGACAATCAAAGTGTTTAAAATTCATTGAGAGGACAATAACTTTTCATGATCAATTTGAAGTAAATTTTATTTTTGAACTTCCAATTGATTTATTGATTTTATCAACTAAATTTTAATCATCATTAAGGAGGAAAAAGTTAATTAAAGTTAATCTATTAATTATTCTTTTAACTTTGAACCTTTTAATTGCTGATTATTGATTAGACAGGTAGATATAAACATAGGGAAGACAATTAGTTAATCATCAATCAGACTGATTAAAATTCAATGTAACTCTAATCATGATTATCGACAGCAATTAACTAATGATGATCTTGATTAAATTTCACCTTTTCTAAGTTATTAATAGAAACCTAATCCTTAAATTAATTTCCAATCCTTAACAATTTATTACATTTCAACTAATTAAATTAACTTTTTGTCTGCTAATTGTTGATTCCAAGGAAAAGCAAAACAATCAATTTAAACAATTAATGAGTATTGATTGTCAATTTATGTTCATTTAGATTTAGATTTCTCAATTGTGAGTTGATTACCTAAACTATTAATCAATTGATTAGTTATTGATTACCTCATGATAAATTGAGCAATTGAGTTAATTGTAAAAAAAAATGGTTCGTTGTGAGTATTATTATTTGTCAATTAAAGATAAATCATCAATTGGGGAAAACAATACAATCTAATCATGAATTAACCATAATAATGATAATGATATTTACTCAAACCATAATTAACTATAAATATTTGTTGATTCAATTGATTAATTTTTAATTCATTGGTTATGATTTAATAATAGTTAATCACGTAAAGATTATACTGATAATGATTTATTTCACCATTGAAATTGATCAATGATTGAAAATGATGAATCTTTTTTTTTGTTACTTGAAACTTTGCAGATTAACATTGAGTTCAAGTTTAATGTAAACAATTGAATCAATTGAATTAAGTTGATCATGTGATTGATTGATAATTTAATCTAGATTAACATAATCAGAGAGAGAGAGAGAGTTGATTATAATTAAAATGATAATGATTCAGAGGAGTTTCATTGATCAACTGATTTATCAATGTCAAGAACTTTCAATTTTCATGGCTTGATACTTTTACCACCCACCCTGAGTATATTACATACCACCCACTTTAAACTGCTCGGTGGGTTCCTAGGAGGAACCGGAAGTTTGATAGATTAAAATAGTCGTTGGAAAAAGTGAATTGTTTACCAGTTCTTACGATAGAGTAAGAAAAAAGTTCTCATGACAGAATTTTGACAGAATTTCACAACTCATAAGGAATGAATAATAATAACAATAATCTTTGGAATTTTTCTACAATTCTATCATGATGATTTCGATCATAATCTTCTGCTGATTGTCAAAAGTAAGACATCATTTTTTTTTCTGTCCTCAATTGGCCTACAGACTCTTGATTCGTTATTTTTTTCTACTTGTTATCTGTCTCATGAATTATCATGAACACAGAATTGAATTTGAATCAAACCAATCATAAGAAAAGAGAGAAAGAGAGATAAACAAAAACTTGAAGATAACATGGTGACGATAATAATACAATTGAATTGTTAACATGAAGAAAAATATCTTGGTTATCATCAAGTGTTAACCTTTTTTTTTCATGGTAATTCTTGTGAAAACCAAAGAAAAGAGAAGAAAAAATCTTCAGTTGTTCATCTTCATGATAGGTGTTCAAAGGGAGTGGTTGGATGAAGGAGGAAATTCATATTCCATGAAATTCCTCAAGGGTTATGACAATATTGGTCCAAGCGAACTGACCTCTCAATAAAAGTAAACTCAACTGGACAAACAGATGAAAATCATTCATCAGTTTTATCTGATTATCTTCATGTTATTACATTGAGTTTATCTGATTATTTGGATAAATATATGAACAGATTAAATAATTTAGATACGAGCAATTTTAGAATCAACTAATTGAAAGCTAAAAGTTCATCTCGATTGCTGATTAACTAAAACTATTATTGACTCTTTTGTCTTTTGTATCTCTATTTATGCAACAATTAAGTTGATTGAATGAATTATGAAAACGAAATGTAAATTATCATCATTATTATGATAATTTATTTCAGTTGATTTGAAAATTAAATCATGAATATGAAAAATAACAATCAAGTGCTGATCGTAACTTTTTAAATCCAATTGAAAATCAATCTGAATCCATTATTGTTATGATTACCATGAAGATGATTATTAATCATGATACTAATTTAATGAATGAAATTATAGTAAAAAAATGTCACCAAATGATTTGGTATGTTACTATTAATATAATTACTCACAATCAAATTAAATTGATAAAAAGGTAACAATCAACCTTTTACTATTATTTAGTTTTTCCCAATTAAGATTTTTTTGTTAACATTTAAATTGTAAACTGAATCTAAGAGGTTAATTGTTGACAAGGTTTCCACAGTTACAAGGTGAAGAATCTTTAATTAATCAACATTTTCATTAACTTTCTCAACAATAATAAACTTCAGAGTAAATTTTTCAATTGTCTGATCAACAATTTAGCTCTTACAACGGAAGTTATATTTACAATTAACTAAATGATTAGCTGATTATTAAAGGTCAATGTTTGGATATCAACAGTAGTTTAAATTTAATGATAATTGTACGTTGAGTTGATTGTCACTATTAAACTAATCACTGATTATGGTTATGGTCTTATCCTTAATCAATGAATGTGGTGAAAAATTTGATTAAATTTGAATGAAATCAGATGATTAACTTTTTTATCCGAATAGTTAATCAATCTAATGATAGTATAGCTCAGGTTAATTCTTAATACGATAATAAAAGTTACTTTGTTTACTTTTTGATTAAATTGTTCACTTATTTTAATAAGAATAGAACTTCAATCTATCAAGTTTCGAAAAGGAAGTAAAAAGTTCTAACAGTCGATGTTCGAGAAGAAGATCACATTTCGTTGATAAAATTAACCAATTGATGCAAAAATAGAATCAGAGAAAGAAAAGTTCATGGAGATACTTGAATTACTTGCTCGAAACTTTTTCTCCCTTCCAAGTTATTAATTATTCGTAAAATTATATTGTTTTATTTTTCGAAACTTTTCTTTCACTTTGAACCAATAGGTAGTTCTTATGGAGATTCTATTTCGGAGGATGCGGATATAGAGGAATCTGTTAGTAATATTGTTCGCCATTTATTCCCAATGGTTCCTGATAAAAGTCGATCACCATGGAGAGATAATTCCTTGGATATTCAGTATTTCTTAGATAATCGCCATCATCATAATCGCCTGTCTAATCCTTATCCAGATAATATATTAACTTCATTGACTAGTTACCAGGGTGGTGAAGGAGATATTGATGGTGGCGGGGGTGGAGATGGCGGTGGTGGTGGTGGTGGAGGAGGTGGTGCGGGTGTTGGAGCTAATGTAGGTGTTAATAGTGATCTTAAAGGCTCGTCTACGGATGATTTTATTACTACAAACTCACAGAATAATATTTATCCTAATCAACGTTATCATCATCATCATGATCCTTTTGTCACATCAACTAGAAACATTGGAATTGAATCTCGTTCTCATCCATACAATACTCGAGATTCATCATCATCTTCATCTTCATCAGCATCATCTTCGATGAACAATTTAATCAAAAATCTTGTCGCTTCAGAAGAAGCCAGAGAATCAGCTATGGAAGCAGCTTATTCTGAATTGGCTGATTTTTCACAGAATTTACCCTTCAAATCACCATCTTCATCTAAATCTGATTCCAATAGTAAGGAAACTGAATCACTTTTATCTTCACTTTCATCTTCCTCGGTACTTTCACCTTCAGCCACCTCATCTTCATCATCACCTTTATCATCGTCGGAAGTTTCATCATCTTCTTTACACCCTTCCAATATTAAAATAATTACCTCTCGAACTCCGAGCGGATCAAATGGAAGAGGATTAGCAAATTTATCAAATCACTTATCTAATCCGATGGGCCGATCTCCAGTTTTATCTTCAACATCAATTCAACAGCAACAATTGGCGATACCACGAAAACCTCGGGTCATTGGATCAAATCATGGACTCAGTTGTATGAAGCGATGCATTAACCAGAAAATACTTCATCCAGTCCAATGTCACTCTCTCTGTTGAGACGAAAAACAATACAATCAACTAATAGACTTCATCTTTAACTTAAATAAATCTCATTCTTCTGAATCTCTCTCATTTCCTGTTCCTCTTTACACCTCAATCTACCTTGTAGGTAACCTTTTCTCTCTCTCTCTCTCTCTTTCTGCAACACTGATCTCCCAAATCCCGATCTTAAACTAAACAATTAATACTACGACTTTACAATTAACCCCTTTTGTTTATCATTCCTTTGGATATTCGTGTTAACCTTTGAAACAATTAAGAAAAAAACACCATCAGTAAGAACGATTTTTTTTTCACTCGAAAGAAAAAAAAATCAACCAAACAAAATGTCTCAATAAACATTGAATATTTCTGTTTCTCTACAATATATATAACATGTAAGAATATTATTATATACATGAATATATAATGTATTATAATATTCATCTCTTCCCTTGATTAGCATCCTCATCACCTCCAGAAACTCATTATCATCTTCATTGTCAATGTTCATCAAACCTGATATACGATAAAAACGGATAACACCAATAATCATTTTCTTTTAATTTATATTAATAGATTATCTCATCATCTTTGCCATTAATTCATCTTCTCCAACTTATTAGCTTTTTCACTTCATCTCTCTCTCTCTCTCCATCAATTAACTAATTCATCATTAAATCATGACATATTTATTTATCGTCTATTACAACTTGCAACATGTACATATGAATATCAACTTATCCTCCGATTCAGTTTATGTTTGATTCTTGTATCATAACCAGAATGTTTATCTCACACAATTAACTGGATTAATCAATTGATTCTAATTTTGTCTTTTCTTCCAATAATAGCTTTACTTTTCTCTGGTTAATTCTGAGTTAAATTAACTAATTCAGAGTCATTCACAGTTCGACGATTCATCAATAATCATCTAAAGTTTTTTTCCATTCCTTGATTTCTGTTTCCAATCAAAAGGAATCAATCAATTTATTAATCTTGTTTATCCATTGTTGTAACAGTAATTATTGATTCTCATTAATATTAATATAATTGATTTTCATTCCGTTTTTCATAAGCTAATTGTTGATTATTTTCTCAATATTTTAGTTGATTATCAAGTTAATATCAATTGTTTATATTAGTTGAGGTTTCATTTTTTCATCCCTCTGATTGTAATTCAGCTTTTGTTATTATCAAATTTATTGGTAATTAAAAAATTACTAAATTGTTAATTAAACATTTTCCCTGTTAATTAACAATTAAGAAAAAGAGATAGAAAGAGTTTCATCTATTTTTTTTTTACAAAAATAATAGTAATCATGAGTAAATCAGTTAATCATAATGATGTACAAAATTATTTGATTGTTTGGATGACAATTGACGACGATGGATAATCATTTATGGCATTTTCATAGTTCGTTGGAAATTAATTTTTTGTTTCATTTTGATTAAATGAAATTGTAAAGTTGGGCTACTTTAAATTACCATCGTATCCAATATTGTGACCATTTTGTTTTTTGATTTAACCAATTGATGATTTAGTTAATCCGAGAGATTTTATCTGCACTTTGAATCCATTTATATTTACATTTGACCATCGAAAGATTTAATTTAAAGTCGTTGTCGTGATCGGTTTAATTAGCAAGTCAAAAATAGTGAAATCTCTCAAACGGAAATTGAACCATCTCGAAAATTGGTCTTTCCAATTAAACTGTTGATTAGAACTGGGGTTCCGTTTCTTGCGATCTCTAATGATTTGGTTATAATAGAATCGATTTCACTTTCATTGGTTCGGTCTAATTTGAAGCCTGAAGCACCTAAAGCTTTAGCAGCTTCTTCGTAAGAGGTGTAGGCCAATTTACAGGCCACATCGGAGCCGAGAATGACTGTTTGCTCCCTTTCTATTTGTGTCCAACCAGCGTCATTACCGACAATAGAAACGACTGGAAGTTTATGACGAACCATAGTGTCATGCTCCATGAAACTAAAGCCAAGCGCTCCGTCTCCGAAAATGACCACAACATTTGATTTTGGACGAACAGCCTTAACGCCAAGGGCAAATCCTCCCCCACAACCAAGGGTTCCAAAAACACCGGGATCAAGCCATCTAAGTGGACCACGAGGTTTAAGAATGTAAGAAGCTGTACCAACAAAATCACCGCCATCGGCAATGATGTAAGTATCTTCGGGAAGTAGAGATTCAATTTTGGTTAAAATTGATAGCGGATTCAAATGTTTGTCTGTTGGTGCTGAAGCTTTGGACAGAATCTCGGTGTCACGTTTAGAGTCCCGTTCACGAAGAGTATTGAGCCAATCAGAGTCTACTTTAAATGGTCCAAGTTTATCTTTTAGTCCAAGGAAAAATTTTCCAACATCGGCTTGAATTAAAAGCTCAGCGTTCCAAAGGAATTTATGGTTTTTCTTAAGTTGACTTTTATTACGATTTACGGCGATCACTTTACTTTTAGGTGACAGTACACGTCCATAATCTAGACGGAAATCAGCGACACTTCCAGCAAGAATAACTACATCGGCTTCACGCAATGCTTCCCGTCGACAGTGACGCATATGAATTGGACTTGATCGGCCCAATAACCCTCTTGACATTCCCCCAAGGAAACACGGAATTCCAAGGGTATTAAGTAGTTCGGCTAACCTTTCACCGCCAACAGGGGGTAAAACGGATTGGCTTCCTAATACAATTAAAGGTTTCTTGGCCTTTGACACAATTTCAACAGCCTTGTGAAGGTCTACTGATTTTGGGAATGGAAGTTCAACTGGCCAAGGACGGGTTTCTTGTTCCATATCAAAAGCGCCCGCAAATAGATTCTTGGTATATTGATCAAGATACCAAGTGACCACTTTCTGTGAAAATGTATTGGTACGAGCTTTACCCATCACCTCTCGACGAACAACTTTGTATGGATAGAGAACATCCAAAGGACACTCAACGAAAACAGGTCCTGGTGTATTTGACTGAGCTTGTCGAAAGGCCTCACGAATGGTTGGAATCAGGTCACGAACTTTGGTAACACTTGCTTGCCATTTGGTGATTGGTTTCATGAGTGACATTTGATCGATATCTTGTAAAGCACCTCGACCTTTTAAAAGAGTAGCCGAACTACCAGCAATAATGACCACAGGTGATTCGGCCATGAAAGCATTTTGAGTTGGTGTAACAGCATTAGTCAGTCCTGGTCCAGCAGTGACAATAGCAACACCCGGTATACCCGAAACTCTGGCTGCAGCATCAGCAGCAAAAACAGCGGATGCTTCATGTCTCACATCAATAACACGGATATCATGTTCCTGACAACCAGTTAAAATGGGAGATATATGACCTCCTGAAAGGGTGAATACCTGTTCCACTCCATGAGTTTGGAAAACAGATGCTATTAACTGTCCACCATGTTTTTTAGATTCTTCATCAACCTAAATAAAGAAGCAGAAACAGAAAGAAAAAGAGAATAGAACAAACAAACAAAAAAGAAAATGAAATAAAAGCAAAAAAAGAAGAAAATTAGAAGAAGAAAAAACCTTAGCAACAGGTAAATGAAAGAAACAGAGAGAAAGGAAATAAATTACAGGTAGAAATCAACAGTTGCTCTTATGGAAAATGAGAAGAGACAATTTTACCTTGTGGAAATAATGAGTTAGAATGGACAATTGCCGGACAACCATGGCGATTATCATGAGAAAAGGATAAAAGGTTTGCATGGCAGAGATACTCAGAAGAACATAGAAAAAGGTTGTTTTCAAAGAAGAGAAGAGATCAAAATCACCGAAACTCTGAGTCAACAATTCTCTGAATCCTTTGCCCAGATCATCGGTATAAGTCCACGCGGTTGATTCCATGGTTTTCTTTGTACTAATTAAATCACTTAATCCAGAAACACTTAAATTGTGAACAATCAAACAGCATCAAACATCCAAGAGTCAATAAGATTTGTTAACGTTGTTGTTGGTGGTGTTGTGGTTAACCAGGAAAACTATTTGATCCTCATCTATAGTAACACAAATGGAGAGAAAAATTTAGTTGGAAATCAATTAATTAGTTGGAATTAATTTAACAGGCAAAGTTTAACGTACAATTAATGACACACTTTATGTTACTAATTAACTGATTGTCAATTTCTACTCTTGATTGTGGTTAGAGAGAGTGAGAGAGACAAGGGGATTCACTGAATAGGGAGAGTGTTTTTCTTCTGGGCGTTTCTTTATTCTTGTTAAGATGATGACGAAAAAAAGGTAAACAAGAATGAGAGAGAAAAGGTAAATAAATGATTTCGAGTCGGAGGCCATTTTTTGATCGCTCTGTTGATGCTTTGATCATTGACGAATTCAAAGTCCAAGGTTATCTGATGTTTCTGTTTAACAATCAGTTGATTGTTGTTCATCAGCAACTATTTTATTTCATTTTATCGGAAACTCGATTGAATCAATTCTCATAAATAAGAGTCTCGGTTGAACCAAAAAGTTTACGAATTTTTTATTATTAAGGTCACGAACTTTTCTTTTAGTTTTCCTGAATAATCACCGACTTGTTGATGTTTAATTGTAATTAACTAATTATCTTGTAGTTTCCAAGTACAATCACCTTGGTAATACTATTAACCTACTCAACTAATACATTTAACTTGACAATGAATGAGAAAATAATCAAATAATTGCAATTAGAAAATGAATTAAAATAATTGCTCGAGATTAACTAACCCAACAATTAACAGAAACAATTAGATTATTAATGGATAACATTAAAATTAAATATTAGAAAAATAATCAATCTAATAAGTGGACAAAGTTGAAATAATGAATGATCATTTTTAAGGTCTATTGACCATCAATACTGACCACTAATCATTGATCACAATTAGTGGTCAGTTTTTTTTAATCTTTTAAAAAATCAAACCAACAATTAAAATCAAAATGAATTAACATCAAAAAATACTTGCAACTTAATGTTTTATTATTAATATTGTAAGTGTGTCCATTATAGTGGACACACTGGTCAAGTTAATTAACTAATTTACACTAATGGTGGAAAACATGATCAACCTTTCACAATTTTAATTAACCATCGGATTCACATTAACCTAAGAACTACAATTTTTAATTATCATTAACATTTGGTGGTGATGGTCAGTTAATTAGTGGCCATGTAACGAGTGAATGATTTATTTAAATTAGATAAACAATTGTAAGCTAAAAACATGGATAATCATTTAAACGCTGGACATTAACTGGACATTCCGAGTAATTATTTAAATTGAAAACATTGTTTCTATTTAATTAATGATCATCATCATCATCATTACGTTTATTTAATCATTTCAATTACAAGAATCAGATTTTCAATTTTCCAGGTAATTTGAATGTCTCTCAGTTTCATCAATTAATTTTAAGTTCCCATAAGTGACTTCATTTGATTTATAATTTAAATTTCACTAATCAAATAATCATCACAATCAACGGTAATGATATTTGGAGTTTTCAACAAATCGAGAGAGAAATGAAAACCGGTCCAATAGAAATTAACTATTTCTTTCCTTACCTGAAGTTACCTGGATAGAGAAAGAAAAAGGTAAAAATCAAATTCTTCCCTTAAATTGTACAATTAATTCATTCATTTTTTTTCCTTCTACTAAAAGATTCTGATAACATGATTAAAATCCTCTAATTGTAACCGTAACATCAGAAAACTAATGATAATTTAACAAGAATCTCAATTTTCCTCATCTTTTCCATTCGTTTGTTAAGTAATCAATTGATTAGATTGAATCTCTTTTTCCCCAATTTAAATTGTCCAAAATTCGTGGTCACCTTTCATTTAACAATATAATATTTACAACTGAATTTAATCACTTTGAGAGAGAAACAATTTCCGTTACAATTAACCTTCGATAAAGTTAATCAATTGGTTGTAACTTTCAACAACCTTTCAATGATTACATGGTTTTTGATTCCGATTACAATTTGATTTATTAAATCACCGACAATTTTTGATTAAATGGAAATGTAATTGCTGAGTGAAAAGTAATGATTAGAGCAAAGACAAAGGTTAACTGTTGGTTGATTAGAAACAATTAACTTATCTCGTAATTGGTTTGGATAATAATTTGATTGAAAAATTTTAAATTAAGGATCATTAAAGGTTGATTGTTTAATTAAATTAATTGATTTAGTGATTATGAAAATGGAGAAGATTTTAAATCAATATAAATTTGATTGTTTGTTTACAAGATGATGATAGAAACAAGCAAAAAGATACAAACAATTTAAATAAATTAAATCTCATCAAGTTCAATAATAATTACAGGTTAAGTATAATTACTTAACGTGAGTAGTTGATTACAAAATTTAGATAGTGATAATTGTGAAGTGGATGTGTTTTGAATGTTTCATGATAAAACACAGTTTGATAGTGGATTAGTTGATCAAATGACAGAATTTTAAATTGTTGTCACATCATGGAGCAGAAAAAAATAATCTCTGTGATTATTTGATGAATCTTTTCAATGTCTATATGATTTCCAGCCTTTATCTTGATTTCGTTGCTGTGAAGACCCACCATGACCACTATGCCCACCAGAAGGTCCTCCACTACCGCCGCCGCCGTAGCCACCACTATTACCACCACGATATCCTCCTCGCTGTGGATAAGGACTATTATACCCGCTATAACCTCCTCCACGACCGCCATAGCTTCCACCACGATTACCATAACCTCCATAGGCACCACCGCCAGCTTGCCCGCCCGCTCCATATCCTCCACCGCCTTGACTACCACCAGCAGCTGCTGCTGCTGCTCCATAGCCAACACTGTTACCACCGCCCCGATATCCTCCTCGCTGTGGATAAGGGTTGTTATATCCACTATAACCTCCTCCGCGGCCTCCATAGCCTCCACCACGATTACTATATCCACCGCCATAGGCACCACCACCAGCTTGACCACCGGCACCATATCCTCCGCCCCCTTGACCACCATAACCACCTCTTTGATAGTTTTGAGCATGATGGTTAACAAATCGATGACCAGAATTACTTAATGAGGCTCTTTGATTAAGGTGAGACATTCCAATCATTGGTCTGAACTTTTCATCAGAACCATCACCTTTCAATACTTTCGGTGGCGGTTTAGCATCAGGTAATTTAACTGCAGGGAATATATGATCTTCAGGATAAACTGGATCATAAAATGCAACACAACGAGCACTTTTATGAAGATGCGAGTATTTTGTACTAAATTGAAATTCACCAGAAATCCCATTGAAATTAACTGATGATATTGGAATTTTGTCTACTTTTTTCTCGAAAAGTTCATCTAAACATTTGAAAGCATCTTCTTTGTGTCTAGATACAAATAGAAGATGAGGTCCAAGAGAGTTACGTTCTTTTTCACTCTCTGTGAGATCAGGATAAACACTTTCCAAAGCAGAATGTAGTCTAGATTCATCGATAAAAGGTAAAAGAGCGACTCCTTGCCATTCTTGCATTTTACCATTTAAATCGATCTTAAAATTGTCGGGATAAAAGTCGATAATATTGGAGGTAGGATTAGTCATCAATTTCCTCCAAGAAATTGGTAAATTGCTTGACGAAGCAGCGGGAAAAACACTCATAAGTTGTTCTAGAGGTTTAAATGGTCTAGATTTTCTGTTGAATTTGATTTCCATCTCATCGATGTCAACAAAATCAGATGCAAATGGAGCATAATGAAAAGGATAAAACCACTGCCAATCGGGGCAACCTTGATAATAGTATAATAAGACCCAACAAAGGCCAAGTACATATTCACGGGAGATGATACGACTTATACCATCGGGTTTTGGTGCATCAAATTTATGGAAATAATAACGATCTTTCCAACCTTCAGAGCCTAATAAGATATCATCATCAGGTTCATTATCAGATGATGACGATGATTCTTTACCGCCAACATCATCAAAGCGTCTTTTTTGTGGTCCTTTATTGGTTTGATTCTGTTGAGTTGAATTTTTTGCTTCATCGGTGACCAACATTGATTTGAAAGCTTTAATTCTTGACATATTATCGGTGGTCTGATCGGTTCCGGTAATAGCTTGAGGTGTTAACCATAAGTAACCAGAAGAAGCCTCTTCCCGCCTCTTTTCAGCTTCTTTAGCTCGAGCCAATTCTTTGTTTTTTTCTTTCACTCGATTTCGCCATCGAGCATCATTATTTGCTCTTCTTTGGAAAATTTCATCCTCAGCACGACCCAATTGTTTTAGAATCAATTGACATCTCTTCATATTAACTATACCATTTTTAGTTAGATAAACTTCTATATCAGAAAATTTTTCATTTATATCGTGATAAATTCTAACTAATCGGTCGATTGCACCTTCTCGTATTTCCAGTGAAGGTAAATGAGGAAGAAAATCGTTACCAACGAAAAAACAAAGGAAAACAAAATCATCTATAAAACGTTCCAAGTCCAATTTACCACATTCTTGTGCTAAATATTCACGGAGAACATTTAAACGAATAAATATGAATCCAGGTTCCGATGGACAAGCGGGAACTTCTTCAGTTGGATCATGAGGTTTACCTTCACACTCTTTCATTTCATGACCATACTGACCACAAATATCACAAGGTCTCGGTTGATTTGGTACAAATTCTTCACGAATTATAGTAAAATTCAATTCATGAGTAGCTAATCCTAACATGATCAAATCGGCATCAGCTCCACATAAACAATGAGATAAATTGGCATCATAACTTTCTTTTGATCTTTGACGTCTAATATATTCCATAATTTTGTGTTCTCCTTCACCAGGAGCTGAAGCATCACTGAGAATTACCAATAAGTCTTTATGCCAAAGAGAATTTGATTCTATAAAATAACAAAGAAGATAAATACATTAATGATTCGATTAAAATCTAATAAGAACCAGATAGAATTTAAAACGAAGAAAAAAAAGACAATCTTACCTTCGTCATTACAAGAATGATCCAATTTCTTATTAATCCAAGATTGAAGAGCGATACTTAAATTAATCATAAATTGAGTACCAGGAGTTATCACATTAGAATCAAAATGAGCTTTTTTAGTTTCTCCTTCATCAAAGATGACACCTCTTCCTTTTAATTCTTCTCTAATTCTATCAATCTCAATTTTCTTCATCGTTGACTCTTTGGAAGCACGGAAACGTCTTGATCTTTGCTGGTTCATTTTAGCTCGAGGGGCAACACCATCGACCGCCATGTATAACATTTTCCTCGGTTTTAATATTTTCATCAGTTTATCAATATACTCGAAAATAGCTTCAAACATTTCCTCCTCAGTTTCCGGAGCTTGTTTATATTCAGGGTGAGTACATGGATGAATAATACCATTCATATCAAGGTATAAATTGTCAAAATCATATTCAACAGGAACACTTGGATCAACATCAACACAAATCGCTGGATATTTTTTAGAAAGCCAACGGAAAAAGGCTGGAACACCCATGGTTAACAGTCGACTTAATCAAGGATATTAATTACTCTTTAAATCAAAACTTTAATAACAATTAAAATAACAAAACAAAATTAGATTGTTGTTGATTCAACAAATGAAACCAAAAATATCCCAATTGTATCAACAGCACACATGGTTGAGAAAATTAAAAATCCAAACTGATGGAAAAGCGGCAAATTCAAACTGTTAAATTCTATTCTTTTAATTTTTTTCTACTTAAATGAAACTTTAATCAACGAATTATAAATGGAACACTAGTTAATTAACTAGAGATAATTATTTCAGTTAATTAGTTGGAAATTATCGTTTTCTTCAATGATTTTATTCTGATTTTCAATCGGTGACTTAATTGAGACTCGATACTTGGTATCAACATTGAGAGAATCAGATACTTGGACTGAGAAATTTTCATTTTCATTTAAATTGTTTTTCTAATTAAACTGATTAATTTTGTCAATTTAATTAGTTTATCGGTTTAATTTTTACACAAGTTGATTATCTTCATTAATGTGAGTATCTCTTTGTTTGAATGGAACATCAATTTTGTTTCTTTTATGCTCTTTTTTAGATTAACGTGTTGTGGGATTTTTTGTTTGTTTCTTTTTTTTGATTGTTTATTAGATGACGAAAAAAATTTTTAACAATTATTGTGATAAAATAATTCTTGCACCAATGGTTAGGATTAATACTTTACCAATGAGACTATTGGCGCTTGATTATGGTGCTGATCTTGTTTATTCTGAGGAAATTATCGATCACAAGTTGATTAAATGTAAAAGGATTGTCAATGGTAAGAGTGTTGATTGTTATTCTCTCCTTTGAATTGCGATTATAGAATTAATATTTATCTTAATTGTTCATTTCCAACTTTAGATGCTCTTGGAACTATTGATTATTTGGATGCTGAGGATAAAGTCGCTTTTAGAACCTGTGACATTGAGAGAGATAAAGTAATCGTTCAGATTGGAACAGCTGATCCAGAGAGAGCCTTGAAAGCGGCTAAATTAGTGTAAGAAAAAATGTTCTATTCTTTTTCAATAGGTGACTAATTAAACTCCTCTTTTCTTTAAATAGAGAACAAGATGTATCAGGTATAGATATTAACATGGGCTGTCCAAAAGGGTTTTCCATCAAAGGTGGAATGGGAGCCGCTCTTTTAAAAAAACCCGAAACAGTCTATCAAATTTTAACAACATTAACCTCGAATTTGTCAATACCTGTTACCTGTAAAATCCGCTGTCTCTCATCAGTAAGAATTGTCCTATTCATCATTTTTGCCTAATGATTAATATTGATGACGATGATTAATATGGTAAATAATATTGATTTGATTCTCCAATCGTTTAGCTTGAAAATACATTGGAACTTGTTAAAATCATTCAATCAACTGGTGTCTCTGCGATTGGTGTTCATGGGCGAACCAAAGATGAAAGACCTCAACATAAGAACCGAAATGATTTCATTAGAGAAATTAGTAGATATTTAAGTATACCTGTTATCGCAAAGTGAGTTATTAATTATCATTCTAATTGTTTGATCTAACTAAATGAATATTTTCTTACTCCTTTTAAATTTTAGTGGAGGATCAGGAGATATTAAATGTTATGATGATATTGAAGTTTTTCGTCGTCAAACTGAAGCATCTTCAGTAATGTTGGCTCGAGCTCCAGAATCAAATTGTTCCATATTCAGAAAAGATGGGCTACTTTCAATGGACGAAGTGATTAGCGATTATTTAAAATATTCAATTGAATATGATACTAATATTAATGCTGTTAAATATGGAGTACAACATATGATGGGCTCTTACCAAGCAACACCAAGAGGAAAAGCTTGTCTTAGATCAATTTCTGTTCGAGAAATTTGGTAAGATGGAACAACAAATTCGATATCGAAAAACAATTAATCAAATTATTTTTCTTCTCTCTCTCTCTCTTTTATTATTTACAGCAATTTATGGGACTTATCTGATTATTATGACGAATACAACAAAGATTCAATTTCTCCATCAAACTCAGCTGAATCCTAATCTTGTCTTGAATCCAAACAGTTAATCGTTTTTGTTGATTGTTTTTTTCTATTTAATTGTTTTAATATCAAACATGATCCATAACAAATTATCAAAATTACTCTCATTTCTCATCAAATGAGGATAAGTGTAAGTGTAATTAAGAAATAATTTATTTTGTTAAATTTTATCCACATGATTGTGGAAACTTAAAAACTTAATGAATTAAAATGTTCATTAGACTAATTGTTTAAATTATTTTCATCTAATTATTTGAAAACTGATTCAATCAACCTGATACTGTCCATCTAATGAGAATTGATTATTAAGAGTTAATTAAATGGAAAAATATTTTGTCAATTGTAAGAGTTTAATTTAAGACAATTAAGTTAATTGTGAAAGTGACAAGGAATATTGATTATTGATTTTTGAACATTATTTATGTAAAAAGCATCAGAAATTGTGAAAAAATTAAGCTTATTTTAATTGCGCTTGCACAATTAAATGAATATTGATAATCCAATATAAAGACGTGATTCCAATTACGAGCAAATTGTTTCGATGTCATTTGATTTAATTGTTATATTGAAGTTGATTAATCAGGAGACGGTGTTTATTGAATGACAATGATGAAGATGATGATATGAAATTAAGTTTTCCAAAGTTAATCATAATTAATTAAAACTATGTCCATATTAAAATGGAAAAGCAGTGAGAAAAAAGTTGCTTTTGTAATTAAATTAGTAAATTGTGAACGATTAAAGTGAGATTGATCAGATCGAAAGGAAAAAAACGAGATCAAATTCTTAATCAATTGAATCCCATCGACTTTTAATTGCGATATTAACTGACAATCAGCTGATGATGATGAAGATTAATCTTGACTTTGTAGTTATTGATTTTCTGTTGTAATTATTGTTTATTACGAAATCAGTTATCATAGTATTTTCTTAATTGTTACGGAATTGAATTAAGTCCTTTTCTTTTGTTATGGTTAAGGTGATAAATGTAAATATCTCATTGTTAAGTTTGATTGTATTATAAGTTAATTAGTTAATTAGCAAAAAGAAAATGACTCGAGATGAAGCTTGTTAATTGTTTGGAATCAATTGATTTCTCTTCTCAAAATAATCGTTTCTTTTCCTTCTTTTTCTCCTTTATTTCCATTGCTCTGTTAATTGTGATCAAAGAAAAGAGAGAGAGAAAAAAAAATATAAATCAATCAATTAGTAATCGAAAATAATTAATAAACACCAATAGTAATTAACTGTTTAAATCAAGGTTATTAGTTGGCAGACAATTTAATCATGTGCTTGATTATTAACAAAATCAAATGTTCCCATTGTGATCGACCCCATTAAAGTATATATCATGAATTTAATTAAATACGGGCTTAATTGTTAATCACCAGTATTCATAATAATAATCTAATAATAGAGTTAAAATTGTTTAATAACTTTTACAGAATCAATTAATTGTGTTAATACTAATAATTTTGGGCAATCAAAACTCAATTTAAGCTTCAAGCAATTAGTTAGGTTAATTCATTCACAGGTAATTTTTACTTTTCCCAATCAATAAAAATTAACTTTAATTGATTAGGGTAATCAAGAGTTAATATGAGACACGAAATTTAAACAAATTAAACTTTAAATTGTTAAAAGAAAATTTAAAACTTAATAAATTGATTAGCACGAAATATTAAATTAATCATATTATTACATTTAGAATCTTAATTTTTTTCTTTCTTGTATTAGTTTTAGTGTTGATTGTGAAAAGTATTCAATTAATAAATCATTGTAATTAAATGGAAAACAATAATAATAATTATATTCTGATTGTAAGGTTAATAATTAATTGTATTTCTACTAATTCTCTGAATTATTAACAGTTAATCATATTAAAAAAGTTGATTAGACCTTTTGATCATAATCAGTTCACGATTTGTTTCGTTAAATAATAATAATAAAAATACAACGATTCATTAATAAACTACATTATCATGTAATAATCATGAGAATAACAATTTGCATTTTAATTGCAATTAGCAAATTAATTTATTCCAAGGTAAGATATCGTTGTTTCTTGGTGATAGAATCTGATTCATCCTGATTAACCATTGATTTCAATTTAGATAAACTTTTAGGTGAATTTGATCGTTTACAGGGTTTACCATGGAAAAGCCTCCGTAGATTAGATAATTTGCTTGATCGCCTAAAGAAGATACAATATCGTTTCAATCATGTTAATTATTTGGTTAATTGTGATAATCAAAATTTCTGACAACGAAAAAAAATATCAACTTTTTCTTCAATCATTTCAATCAACTGATTGCAAAGGGAAAAAGACAAAAAGAAACAAGCAAACATATAATGATCGTAATGGTAAAATCCATGAACATGATTATAAACATGATGAGGATGGAAGAGAGAGAGAGAGAGATGAAGATGATGAGGATGAGGACGAGAATGAAGATGAAGATTATTATGTAAAATTGTAAACCGGTTCATCTTCATGATGTGATAATCATGAAGATAAGGAAAGAAACCGGATTAAGAAGTATATATCTCTTATTGGAATCAATAGAATATAATATTTTTCCATTTTCTGTTATTCTGTAACTAATTTTCTGCTTTTCTTTCAAATAAACAAAAAAGGAATCAAATAAATCAATGAAAATCTAAATCAACAGTTATCATCGACATTGAAAACATTTAGAAACAATTTAGGCTTCTAATTAAATCACTAATCGGATCATTATAAGCTGTTAACTTTAATTAAATTTCGATGATCAAAAAAACCCTCAAATAGTTAACAAGTTTTTGTTGTTGTTGTTTTTTTACCTTCATCCATAAACTTTAACATCTCTTGTTTGTTGCTTACAACATGAGAAAAGTATATAAGTTGATAATATTTATGAAAAATCAAATTCATATTAAGAGATTATCATTATCATCTCCATCATCATGAGTGTTTATCTGAGGCTACCTGAGGTATTTGATGGATAGTTTCATGATGAATGATGATGATGATGATAGTAAATTGTGGATAAGATAATCAGATGGCCAAGAATTTAAAGATAATCCCGATTTCTTCTTGGAATCAACAAATTTACAGGAATCCATCACTTTCAATGTGATTTACCATCAAATGATTAAGATGAAAATCTAAATTTAATGGGCAAACTTTTCCAATGAAAATGTAAATATAAACTTATATTTACAACAAAATCATTATCAAATTTATCCTCATCATCATAATCATCACCATTATCAGTTAGACTGGTTTTAAGTTACTAAATAATTCAGGTCTTACAGCTTTAGGGGTTAATCAGTTTGTCACCACTTTTTTTTACTGTTAAATTTGAAACAGTTTTGATTCATATTTCAGGGTAACTGTAAATTCAGTCAGAACGATAACAAAGTGCTCTAGATACAAGCTAATAATCATAATATATTTATTCAGAACTGACCTCATCTTTATATATATTTTCCCCTCTCAATTTGTACAACACAGTTAAGTTCTGATGATGATAATTATGATAATAATCATCGCTAAATATTTGTCTGTTCATGGTAAATGACCTCAAAATATGTAACACTCTAGGGTCTTAATATTATCGACTTTTATATCAATAAGATAATATATCAGAGGGAGAGGAGAGAGAGAGATTGACATCATATCATAATAATATAAGTCAACAATTAATATCAATTGACTACAGTAATTGGAGTAATAAATAAGAGATTAAGTGGATTGATAATTAGGCTTAAATATTAAGCCTTAATTGGACTAATATAATAATGGATTAGTTTAGGAATATATTGCAACCGAAAGGGGATGTTGATCCTTAAATAACGAACAATGGAAACATTGTTAACTTATTAACAAGGTTTTAAATTGAGTCGCAATTAAAATTACAGTAAACACAGATTAAGGAGGAAATCAAGTTGTACACAAAATAAATGATATTGCAATTAATACACAAGAGTCAAATGTAATGGGACATTGATGATAAAAGATGATTAGTTTATAAAAGATTGTAGGATGATGAGGATGATGAGGATGTTTATAATTATGATACTCTGTACATAAGAACAGAATTGATAATATTATAAATTATAAAATGATCATCACATTTTGATAGGTACGTTAAATCAATAATTTGAAAGGTTGAAAAAAAAGAGTAATCATAATAAATAAATTATAACAAAATTAAACACCTAAACACATTAGCTAAATTGTTGATTAAATTGATTGCTAAAGTGATGTTTATGATAATAAGAGGAAGAAGATGATAATGTGACCTGGTGCGATGGAAATTGATTGATCATCAGCAAAAGCGAGAGAGATAGAGAGAGAGAGAGAGAGGGAAGAGAGAATAGGAAAAGGAAGGAAAAATATTCGATATAAATAATAATCAAGGAAAAGGATGAAAAGATGATTGTTTGTTTTGATCGAAATTGGTAAACATTTCTTAATTTTTTTCGAAACATATTAATGAGGCCGCCAAATGCCTATTTGTTTCATCGTTTTGAAGCCAAGATTAAGGGATTTTCTTGATGACAGTGATGATGTTGATCGCCGCAGATCGGGTTTCCTATTTAATAATAGCATATTCTCAATGTAAATAATAGACTAATACATGAATCATATTTTCTCCCCTTTGTTTCTTCTAATGATTTATATGTCTAGTTGATCAAAATTTTAACAATTAAAATGATCAAATTGTTGTTAGTTAGTTTTGCGAGTTAGTATATTAGGTGAACAAAACATTATACACATTAGTGAGTGCGAGAGCGAGAGAGAAATCAACCATTTGATGCCCATTATTAAAGTTAATTGTAAGGGATAGGTAATTTCGGTAATGATTCAATCATTAGGTAATATAAAGAATTATTTTTTTATCATTATCGTTATTAAATTATTGTGAGTTAATGTACGAGGTAAGGGTTAAGGTAAGTTTAGAATTGTTAAAAGAGGCTTGGCAGAAATAGAGAGAAAAGCAGAAATAAGCAGGTTATGTTTGAGAAGACAAGGTAACAAAAGCCAAGATGATTTTCTCAAGAAAACAACAACAACCATGTTGATTTTGTTAATAAGTTGTTAAAACATTTAGATAAACACAAGCACAAGGTTATTGCCAAATAATTATCAAAATTGTAAATAAATTGAGAATTGTGAATGGATAGAAGAAACAAAGATGAAAAATGAGTGATAATAATTGAAGATAATCTCAACTTACTCTCTGATATTTGCTTCCAATGTATTTTTCCTCATCTCTTCCATTTCTCTGGCAATCACTTCGAAGGCATCTCTTTCCTTCTCGAATGCAGCTCGTTTATCGGCCAATTCTTGTAACTCTTTCTCGTGAACCTTTCGATTCTGTTCGTCAAAACGAAGGATCTAAGAAAAGAGTAGAAAGTTTTCCAAGGATAAGATAAAGAGGTTTCAAGAGAAACTTAGGTAAATCATTCTCTGGACTTTATCGACTGTTACGCTGTACATACTTCGGCTTCCATTTCTTCGAGTTTTTGTTCTTTGGCCTTGACTTTGGTTTCAAATACATGATCCATTTCCTGTTCGAGTCTTCTTAATTTGGCTTCTGAGGCTTTACGTTCTTCCTCCATTTGTGCTAAAGGATTTCTGTAGAAAAACAAACCAGGTAAATAAACATGATCAAGTTTGTAGAGAAAAAAAAATTACGTGACTATACAATCCGCCTAAATATTAGATTAGAAATGTAATATTTTCATGTTGTATTTTTCCGGAAATGTTATAAAACCGGAGATTAGTGTCCGTTAATTTAAAGTAAATCAGTTATAGTTGGTTCCATGAAAACAACAAAAAAAAATGATATAACTTGGATACTGATTTTTACATTAAAAGTAACATTATCAGTGAAACTATTTCCTGATCAAATTACAATAAACCTATTTTACTAATCATTATGGTGAAACTATGGATTGATAAATCATCATCGTTAATTTAACTACGATTAGTTGAATTTGATTCTAGATTGAGCTAATGTAATCAAAATTGAATACGATTAATGAAACTGTTAACGTGACTTTGTAATAAACAATAATCATCATGTAATCAGCGAACATAGTAAGAGTAAATTACCACTTAATAATGTTTTGATTGACACAAATTGATGATTGAATTGAATTATGATAAATTGATGTAATATAAAAAAAACAATATGTCTCAACAAAGTAATAGATAATCAATTGATTTAACTAAACAAATCTAATGATTAACTGTAACATTTCAATGATAATAATGATAACAATATTGATAGACTTTAAATAGTAAATGAATTAACCAATCAAACTCACATATCTTTTGATGATTTTTCAGATCCAACTCCAGATAATTTTCGGCACCGATAGTTTTCATAGTGTACATTATTGGTTGTATCTACCAAATCGAGCATGAAATATTTGATGAGCATCATGCGAAGGGCAATGAAATCACAATGTTCCAGATTGTCAACTGAAAATGTGGATAAAACAATGACAAGATTGGGAGAAAAAAAAGAGAAAGAGTGAATTAGTTACAACAGAACAATGAATCAGATGGATGATTGATGTAATTAGAAGAAGAAAAATAGATGAGTAAATAATCAAGTAAAAAAAATTACTTTCAATTGTTCCCCAAGGATATTTTCTTGCTCTTTTTCTTTCTCCACTTGGTGTTTCAACGACGACATTACTTCCACATACTGCGAATGGTATTCGAGCTTTAAGTTGCTTTAATAATTTAGCATCATCTTCCTCATCACAATCAGGGAATTCGTATATTCTTATTTTATGTTGTGCTATTTGATTCATGACCTGAAAGAGGGAAAGAGAAGAAAATAGCAATAAATAAAAGAAAAGAAAAAAAAAACGAAAAATGTGAAACGAATAATATCCAATTGCAACCAATCAAAGTAAACAATTAAAAGCTATTAAAAATGATTGTAAAATCGCAATTAAGTGTTTACATTTTTCTTCATTTGTTGGCATTCTTCAACAGTCAAGCTATCAGCTTTGGCGATTATTGGTATTATGTTCACTTTATCTTGTAAATTTTTCATAAATTCAATATCTATTGCTCTCAATGTCACTCGAGGTAACATAAAGTATAAACAACAGTGGACACGATTATCGGGAATATGAGTTCTGTGAAGTTTTGTTTCCGCATTTAAATATTCCTCATAACGATCTTCAATATATTCACTGATCTTTTGCCATGAATTTGTATTGTCAAGTGAATCACCAAAACCAGGAGTATCCACAATGGTTAAAGATAAATTTACGTTCTTCTCTTTCAAATTTACTTTGGTTGCATTAACTTCAACGGTTTTACTGAGACGTTTAGATGGTCCAGGATATTCATCAGAATAAATGTCAGTTAAAAACATAGAATTGACCAGAGTTGATTTTCCCAATTCAGATTCTCCTACAAAATTATAAAAATACGAATTAGTAAAAACAAGAAAACAAGAAAAAGAATATCAATAAAAAAAAGGAAATAGAAACAATTTATAAATAAAAAAAAGAAGAGAAAAAAGGAAAAAGATGAATATGGAAATTCAGAAAAAAAACACTGAACCGTCAAATCAATTAACTGATTATGTGTTAAATCACATTAGATGGTAAAAGGCGTTGTAATGAAAAACTGTTTCATGTTCATAATTTACTCTTAAGTTTAGGCTGTTCATTATCATTAATTGATCTTTTTTCTTTTTTTTTCTTAGCACATTTAAGACATAAAATGAAATTTACTTACCCACAACCATTAGGGTGAACTCAAAGCCTTTTTTGATGGTTTTACGGTGAATTTGGTTGGGTAAATCACTGAAACCAACATTTCTCTCCGAGTCTTTGGCCGCCATTAATTTGTCCTGTTGGTTGGTAGATGATGATAGCATTGATCGTCTAGGTTCTGGATAATCAAATTGAAAATATATATTTACACTTTAATTACTTGGTTTGGAAAACACAATGTGGACAAGTTTACACTAGATTAATTTGTTCATGTTTTATGAGTAGTAATCACTTTAATAGGAAATAGATGGCTTCACCGGTTTAAGAAGCAGAATCAGTTAAAAATATGATAGACAGACACACACATACACTCAAGATTTCACTTTTGATAATTCCAGGTAAATCATTGATTGTATCCAAATGTCTATAAGGAAAAAGAGAGTGAGAGAGAGAGAGAAAAGATATCTCTTCTCAATATGATAATGAGAACTTACCGGCAGAGTCAAGGGTGTCACGGTAAAGGCTTCTTGAGCGGGAATAGAGTAGATCCGTTTTACTGCCACTAAGAGCATTTCGAGTGGAAGATGAAAGGGCTGACGATGAGTTCAGAATAGAATCTGTTGATGAATTGACGGAATTTTGTGAAATATCTCTGGTCGAATATAGATCCCGTTTAGAATTGAGCTGTGAGGATAAAGTACAAAGAGAGGCCATAATTAGAAGAGTATTTCAATTGTGGTTAAATTGACTGTTTTTAAAAAATAAAAGGCTGTTTTATAAGCAGTGGTTAAGATTTTGTAATGAAGCAAAATAAAAATTGTTTTTCTTTAAGCACTATTGGTAACAAGATTTTGGGGATAGATGATGGCGATGATGATGATGATGATGATGATGATGATGATCTTGGAAGGTATATTGAAGCTTAGAAAATTGAAAATGAGATGTTCAGAAGCAGAAATTGTTACAGCAACTTATTTGAGGTTGATAAGAAAAAAGATTAATAGGTAAGAAGTTACTCTAGATGCTGAATTTGGATGAACTTGAATCAAAGTAAAGGCCTAAGGCATCAAAAAACGAGGAAGAAAGCGGGAGAGAGAGAGAGATGGATAGATAGAGAGGTAGAGAGAGAAGAGAGAAAAGCTCAAGATGGGCGATGAAGATGAAATGAGGATGAGGATGGGATAGAGAGTAAGGGGAATAGAGAGAAAGAGAGAAAAGGGAAAAAGATGAAAGAAAGAAAGATTGAGACAAGAGAAAGAGAAAGAGAGAGAAAATGAGATGATGTATCCTAAATTTGAGGAGGTTTGCGGCTAAATGTGGATGTAAGTGACATCGCGATGGAGCAACATCACTACTCACTGGTTCACCATCTTCAACAACACTAGGTTCGGGTGATGGAGATCTCATTTCGGATGGTTGATCGTATATTTTTTGTCTCCCTGTTAGTCTATCAACACTTGCAAACCGAGCTGATGGTTTACTAGTTATTAAAGGAGAAACCATTAGGGTTGATGGTGTTAACTGTGGTGATGGAGGAGTATCAATGATATTGTTAGTTGTTTTAGTGATATCAGATAATTGTGATTGATTAGGATCGGAAAAAAATGCTTCACGAGCTGATTTAATTCCAAGGTTAGCTGAATTTGGTGATAAATTAGTACCAACACCAGTGCTACCAATAGATGGTTTACCAAGGGTTGGTGTTACTGATGATGATGGTGTTGGTGATGATGATAACAAAGAAGTTGCATTATTATTATTAGTAATTGTAGAAGAGGGAGTGTTAATAGATGTTGAAGGATTGGGAGGAAGAGGATTAGTTATTGGACCATTTTCTGGATATGGTGAGGTTGGTGTTAGTAAAGTACTAGGACTTCGATTAGCTAAATTATTATGAGTTAATTGTTGTTCCCAACCGGCAACCATATTTCGGATTCCACCAAAATCTTGTGTAAACTTTTTCGGTCGATATTCAACTGATGATCCAGGATAAGGAGAAATGCTTACCAAACTTGTTGGCGGGTTCACAGCCGATCGGATTGATTGAGACATCCTTTAATTGTCAACACTACCAAGTGTCACTAAGTTGATGATTAGAAAATAGAAAACAATATAAAACAAATATCAAAGACATACACCGATGGTAAAATTATGAATCCAATGAGCCAGAAAGGAGAAAAAATTGTAAGACAACAAGAAGGTGGAACCAGAAAGAGAAAAAAATTACCTGTAGTTTCTCCAAGCGGAAGAATAGGAAACCAAAGATAAATTAATTTCTTCTTTTCCTTATCAATTGATGAGCAAACTAAATTCACTTAAACAACAATTGATCCTCACCGAAAGGTCTAGTTAATTAAAAAAGGAAAATTAAAAATCATAAACAATTGAAAATCTCTTTAAAAATTCAAACATTTGAAATTTAGAAAAATTTTGATTCTATTGAAAGTAGTGACCTCTATTGGTGCGCTCGATAAATGTTATTCTTTGCCCGCAATTTTTGATTCTTATGATTATATGGACCACTATCAAAAGAAGTGTTTTTGAAATAGCTTGAAAATAATAATTTAATAGTGTAATAAGAACTGATTACGGTATAACCAAAATATTGGCTACTGCCGAAAGAACCTGTGGGTGTGGAATCCGAAACAACGATATGTTTGGGTCAGCTATACTCGCAGGATTGGCTGTGATGAAAGATTATTCAAAAAACTTTACGATTCCGATCCAGGGCTTGAACTTACTTCGTGCTAGTTTCTCAAGTTGTTTCGGGTGATATTTAGTACCAGAAGTGTGTTTGGAAAATTTGATAAAAACCTATCAATTGTTTTTGTAATAGTGTGATTATTTTTTCATTTAAATGCACAAGGCGCTAAAATTATTGTTAATTTAATAGGAATCAAATTCAGCACTGATAAAACGACCACTCATTTTAAATGAATTCATTTGTTAGACCTCGCAAATTATTCAAACTCTATGCGACGTCCTCCAGAAAAAAGACCTATCAATTGTTTTTATCATATTTATTGTGATGACCTGAGTCAGGTCAAGTTGCAGCCGGTTCATGTACATATGTATGCAGTTATGGGCCTTGTGGGTATAAAAAAATCGTAGGTAACATTTCTCACTCGTTAACTCGAGATCTGAAAACAACATGGTAAACTGTGAACATGTTTATCGACCTACAATGACGAATACTCTAACATATTTCTCAAGTGTTTGTTCACCATGAATGAGGCATGGATATCAGTATATGACCCTGAGGCCAGAACCGAGTTATGGAGTCGATAAGTGACCGGTCAGGTTGTGATCAAATGATCATTCTCTGCATATACAATATACAACCAAAGTAATCTACAATCAATTCTATACAACCAAAGTAATCAACGGAGATAAAATTAGTTTTAATGACTTTTCGATAATTCCAATAAGCGTAAAAATATTTTTTCAAGTTTAATAATCTTGCCCGCGGCTCACGATCTCTTTGCATGTTGGCCTTAAAATGATGGTGTGTTCGTATTGTGCTGAATAGCTTTTCTTTGTATCGAAAAGAGGAGGATAAGGAGATACAATATTTTTTTGACATAAATCGTTGAGAGCGAGCAGATATTTACTTTGACCTAATCTGTCCAACCAACGACGACAGAAACTTAATGTACCAAAGTTTCGATTGATTATGTTGAGAAGTTGCCTGGACCGGGTTGATCTACCCAATCGAATAAAAGAAACAAAAAATAATATCAAATAATTTGAATGTTCAGAAAAAAATTCTAAAGGTTCATAAATACCTCAATGGAGCATGAATAACATCGTAATTTTTCATGTAATGAGAAATCTCCTCATCGGCAGTAGCATATCCTCGACCTGTGCTTGCAAACGTTTCGATTGCATAAACTTCACCTTCCTGTAATTTTCAAGGAAAAACAAAGATGAACAAATTTTCGAGATCAACTAATGAATAATAATGATAAAAAACTCGTATGAAAGGTCATAGGTTACCTCCATTCTCGCCGTGTATTCTGTTCCTCCTACAATTGGAACGGTTTTGTCTGCGTGAATATGATAAGGTTGAATTGAGTGTCCACTCAAATTGCGAATCGGTTTGACTGAAACAGAGACGAAAAATGAGTAAACAACAAGAAGCGTCGATGATTAAGAATAATCAATTTTACCAATCAGTTAATACCTTGAAAAGTTTTACCATCAAGTTCAACTTCATATGATTCCATCACTTCCTGAATTTGTTCACCAATATCACATAGACGGACATCGATGCCTGAAGCTTTGATTCCTGTATTAGTCGACTCTCGAGCTGCTTCGAGTAGCTTATCGTATTTAGGATTAAAGGTCATTGTAAACGCCGAGTCAATTATTCGACCATTAATATGAGTACCAATATCGATTTTACAGACATCATCATATTCGAACACTGTATTGTCTCCAGTGTTTGGTGTGTAATGAGCGGCACAATTATTCAGGGAACATCCAGTTGGAAATGCGATTCCCGCTTCGAGACCTTTTTCGTTTATCAACTTTCGAGCGATGCTCTCTAATGTTTCACTGTTACAACAAGGAAAAAGGTTAATAATCATTCACAAGTTACACTTTTCCTACTAAACTTGGCAAGTAATTAATAAGATAATTTACCAAATTTCTATCATCTTCATTCCTGGTTTGATAAATTGCTGCATAAATCTACGAGTTTGTCTATGAGCCTCAGCGGCTTCTCTCAGTTCCTTGTACATGTCGATATTTGCAGAATCCAAAGCCTTTTTTTCAGCACTTCCAAGTCGATCAGTCGCTGTACGACTAAAAGATAAAAGGATCTCAAAAAAAGTTCTAATATATTGGTAATAAATCGAAAACTTCTACTTACTTATCACTTTCTACGTTTGGATAATCCATAATTTCCCCGATGGGATAATCACCATTAGGAAATAATTGATTGATCGGAATAGAAGGAGCAACGATTTGGTCAGTTCGATCATCATTTTCTTGACCTTCTATCAATTTTTTCTGTTTCCCATTAGTATTTTTCTTTTTCTTCTTTTTCTTAATCAACAGCAAATCTCCGTTAGATTGTTGACTTTCAGTAGAAACTGATGATATAACTAAATTCTCACCTCGACCATCGGTTAAACCTCCAATTAAATCACCTTTATTCTGCTCCTTTACTGTATTAATTAGATTCGAAAATATATTAACAAGGTAAGTTCGAAAAAAAAAAAATGTATTACATTGTAGATATCGAACCTTTCTTTTTCGATTTCTTCTTCTTCTTAGATTTCTCTAAAGGGACTAATTCATCAAGACCATTTTCCTCACAGCGAAATCGATTATCCAAATAAACGTTTTCGATTTCAACTCGATCAACATTTAAAAAGTTTTCTTCAGACACCATTTCAGAACAATTCAACTGAACATTAATCGAAAGGATGAAAACACTATTAAATCACAGTTACAATTAAAGTAACAAAAAGTCACAAACAAATATAAAGATTAGAGAATCAACTAAATCCTGAATCACCAAGTTAATCACAAAACTAATCAATGGAAATTAGTTATAACTAAAACTAAAAAGCAAACACAATTTTAAAGTGATGGTGAAAAAAATAACAAATTTCATTTGAATATAATGAGATGAACTTTCAATAAATTTCAAACTAAAACTAAGATCGTAAGTTTAATTAACTTTGAACACAAATTCTTACAACAATTAACTCCATACTCACACTGATTTAACCATTCAGATGATAAAAGTGAATCCTGAATGTCACCAGAATATAAAAAAAAAGATTTCATTGATTAATCCAAGCGCATGTTTAACTAATGTTACTTTGATTCTTACTATTAGATTAGACTATTTTTTTGGGGATCATCTCAAATCTGTATCCTCCGACTCTTATCATCATCATCATCATCATTCTGAATCCTCCTCTCTTATCATGATATTGATTAAATCATCATTGATCTATTTTTTTGTCTTTCCATGTTATCTCATCACTATCTTATTAATGTAGTTGACCAATTCTGCCATGTCAATCGTTAATTGCAACTTGAAAAACTACAATAGAATCAAATGAATTACTGATCAAATGAATGGTCGAAATTTAATTACTAACAATCAAAAGTTTTCTCCTCATTTCCAGTTCTCATTAACTTTCACTGAGTTTCATGATACAACAATCATGACCCTGAGAGACAATTATGAACTTTAATCATGTAATTGTATCAATTCAGAGTATTTTGAGTACAACTGATTATGTTTAATATTCAAATGAAAGGATTGATTTCCTAATATGCTAATGACAATTTAATGATTACTATTATTCAGTTATCATTAGAAATCATGTTTTCTTTTAATGTCATGATAATAATAATTTCATTGCTCGTCTACAAAGTTATTAGATTAAAATGATAACCATTAATCACTGAACTCTAACTGAATAATGTAACAACTTTGTTTTTTCATCACTCAGACTTGTAATCATTTATTTAAGTGATTCTCATGATGAGAATGAAGATGAAGATGAAGATAAACAGAGTAAAGAGTTGGAAAGATGATGATGATAATTGTTATTCTTTTGTTCATTTCATCTTCTTCCTAATTCCTTCATCCGAATCTTTTTTTTTACCATTCTAATGATCATCTTCCGTCTATTGATTAAACCGAACCATATTTACCCTCAGTTAGATAATTTCATCATTCTCATGTAGCATCTTCACTTAGCATCCTCATCCTCATCACTTTGAACCCCTTTTATCATGAAACATTAAAATGATCCCATGGAAACAAGACTCTAAATCATTAATCATCTTATTGATTTAATACTTTAGAGTTTAAAGAAAAAAATTTCCACTCAAATTTCAACTAATTGGATTAACTTTAATTCACAATTAATTATTAATCGTACAATTCATTTATTATTCAATATTTTCATTCTGTTTGGCAACTTTTATATACGAAGGAGCAACTGATATTTTTGAAAAACTTTGATTGTTGGTATTTGATTAAAATAAGATAATTAGATTTAGTTGTTGTTACAATTTAAGAACTGTATTTGTCTTTACAATTTAGATTGACATGTAAATATTATCATGATTTATCATCCACCTCCTCTGAAGGTCAAATTTCGAGTACTTTGTCCAACAATATATCTTGACCTCGTAAGATATTGATCTTTCAATGAGATACTCAAGTTACGATTAAATTGTGAGTTTGACTGGTCAATCGATTCATGATGATTGACCAAAGGATTTGGAATAGATGATTTTGATCTGATAATCTCTTTCACCTTTTCTTCACTCAAATCACCTGAAAGTGGAAAATTAGATCCACTTCGTGTTCCATTATTATTATTATTTGCATCATTGTCTTTCCATTTGGTAGTCGTGGTCATCTTGAGATTACTGGACAGTCGATTTGATTGTCGTATCGAAGATGAAGTTATCTGTTGTGAACCAAGGGTTTGATTCACTTGGAAATAACTATACTTTAAACTAGAGTAAACTGTTGGTCGTTTAGATGGAGACCATTTTAACATGTCAACAATTAACTTAATTGCTTCGCAACTCGCATCGGGTACAATGGTTTCGAAATTGATCGAACTCATCAACGGAAATTTAAAATTCATCGAAGAGGCTAATTGATAACCTTCCATCCAATCATTCTGTGGATGATGAGGGAAGAGAAAAAATTATTCGATTAGGAAGAGAAAAAGAAAAGAAACATATTCGCAATATATGAATATCTCCATAGAGAATTGACAGAAGTTCTTGATTAATCGATAATCGATTATGACGTGTTCTCTTTCTCTCTTGTTCCTCTGTTATCCTCATGGAATCCATGACATGGATCATTCATCAAATTCCGTGAACAAAGATCATCATTTGAATTGCATCTTCGTCAAAAGGTTAATCGTTTCTATCTTTCCATGAATTTCATCATGATGATTATCTGAATCACTCAAATTATCATCTCTTCATTTTTCCTTCCTTACACTGATCATACAATGGACATTAATGACATGCATCTTTCAAATGAGATCATATTTCATTCACACTTAAGCTTTCATTTTGCTTGAATAATATCAAGTTTACCTTATCGGGTGTTCCAAGGACTGAACAGATTCTGAAAATTTGATCGATTTCACTTCGACCTGGAAAAATGGGTTGAAGGGAATACAATTCCGCCATGATACAACCAACCGCCCAAATATCAATGGGTGAAGAGTAATTGGTTGACCTTAACAGGACTTCGGGTGCTCGATACCAACGGGTTGACACATAATCGGTATAAGGTGGACGAGAACGGATCTCACGGGCAAGGCCAAAATCGGCGATCTTGATCAATTCTGGTCCATTGCAAAGTAAATTTTCGGGCTTAATGTCCCGATGAAAGAATCCATGTTTATGCATGAAATTAAGTCCATCTAATATTTGGTACATTATATTTCTTATCACAGGTTCGGCAAATGGTTTCTCTCTACATTGGAACAATTAAAATCGATACACAATTAACGAAAATTTTTCATTGAGCAACAATTAAGTAACTCTAATTACCTGTCCTTGATTAATTGGTAAAGATTTTCCTTCATATATTCAAAGACAAAGTAAAGTTGATTGTCCTCTCTAATCACTTCTCGTAATTTAACCAAATTAGGATGACTTAATTTCTGTAAAGACTGTACAACAAAAATTTAAACACAATTAAAACTGGTCAATCATATTGATTAGGCCAATGAACATTTTCAAGGACAATTTAATCAATAACCTTGACAATCAACAAAATTTTACCTTTATCCCAAGATCGTTATATTAAATAATTTGATTGGAATACAATTGATTAATATTATTAGTTTGTGAATGACCATTGGTCCGTATGAATTTCATTTCTACTCACCTTGACCTCTCTAAGATTCATACACTCTTCCCATGAATGATACAGTTTCTTCATTCTGTTTAAATGAGAGGACAATTAGCACAATTTACTTTGTCCACCAATTAATTACTTGATTAGATTAGATTATTGATCTTGATCTTACTTTTTAATTGCAACTTTCTCACCAGTGTCCAGCCTTTGAGCAAGTAAAACTGTCCCATAAGTCCCATCGCCGAGTTGGCTCAACATAACATAACGATTCATACCCTTGGACATTTTAATCACCTCTCGACCTGAGGGTGGGATTGTTGTAGTAGTGGTGGTGGAGGATGAAAGTCCAATTGGTGGTTCGTGTAGAGACAACATTTAATCACAATCACATAAAATTGAACAATTTAAACTCGTTCATCAAATCAAATAACCAATAATCTTGAACATCATCACTATCCAAATGCAACAATATTTGTTTAGATTATTTTAATTTACAATATAACAACTAATCAATATTATCTAATGATTTATAATGAAACCGTTTCTTTTATTAAAATTTGTAAGTTTAATTGTTGACGATTGACAAACAACATTGATATTGAAAATGAAAATGATAATAATTACATAAATCATTACCATGCGTACCATTAGATTAATGTTGAATTGTTTTGAAAATTTTTCCACAATTAACTCATTGCTATGGTTACATTGGGAAAATAATAATAACGATTTGATAATTATCATCAACTGAGGATAAATTTATTTTCGTATTTACTTTGAGCAAAAGATTACCGATAACAACCATGTGATTAAAAGGACTGATCGAGTGTCAGTTAATCTCTCTTGATAATCTAATCCTTTTCGGTTTGGCCAATCAATAGGCTTTCTCTGTGTACAGAGAATTTACTAAATTGTTATCAATTTAATTTCGATTAGTTTGTTTTTCGCTCACTAGATGGCAAACCTTTTCTTCTAATTTCTTTTGGAATCAAAAAGTTTATTAATTGTTACGATTGGATGAACAAATCAATAGTGATTCGAGAAGATATTTGGTTTTGTTTATAATAATCGAAATAATGTTTTTCGTTTTTGCGAAAAATGAAATAACGATAAGCAAATTGTTCATTTCTAAGAATGAGAAGTTTTCGCACTCAGGTGATTATGGAAAGAGTCTGATCTTGACTAGAAGTTGATATTAAATTGTGTTGATTTTTGTATGGGAGAAAAAGAAACAGTAACAATTAACTGATTGTAAGATGGAGAAAAAGTGAACAAGTTAATATAAAATAAGAAGAAAAAAAGAAAAGGTGAAAATCAATTGCAAGTTGAACCTGCGCATCGATTTTCTCATCAACATGATCATCATTTTTCATCTTCATCCTTTTCTATCCAATTTTTACCTAACCAGAATTCAGCATCACCTCTCCTTCTACTTCTCATAGTTTCTCATCTTCATCAATTCTCCCCTGAGTTTCCTGAATCATCATGGAGAAAAAAAAATCTTCTCAAGAGTAATCTTCACTTCTTCTTTCATCTCCACCTTCATCACTTTCCCTTTCCTGTTCCTCATCTTTGTACTTCCATAAACCATATAAGATAATCACTCACCTACATCAACCAATTATCCACACGGTCTCATCATCTTCATCTTCATCTTAATCATCATCTAAATTTTGCAATATCTTCTAATCAAATATAAACAACAAGTCAAAATAATCCAATCAACATCAGAAACATCAGCTGTCCAACAACCAAATCAATCAGCAAATTGAATCAACGATCACATTTTCAATAGTTAATCAGTTGCATCTTTAATGTATATTAACCAATGTTGATAATCTTGTTTAATTGTTTACAATTTAGCTCATGTGAGAGTAACAAAAACAGAGCAATCAAATATTGATCATCATCATTTGTATACAACTGAATACATTTGTTTCACCCAATGTAATATATCTGATCACCAATCTTACTAATTATTCATTTCCATTGTATTCATAACTGTTAATCATCTTATCATCATCATTGATTATCAATTAATCTACTGGTTCATTCCCTGTAATTTTCTGGTTTACGGTTTATTTGGTTTTCGATTCTGGTTCAAAGTGAGAAGAGTAAAAAAAATTCTGGTTCTCATATTGGAACTACATTGAATTTCTGGTTACATCTGAACATTAGATTCATTGTTAGAACTCAGAATTTCATCCTTATACTCAATCGATATCATGGTAAGAATACAATTCCCATCTTCCTAATCATCCTGATCATTATCACTTCAAATGAAATAATGTTATAATAATAATTATATTAATTATTACTCTAATTATCTGATTACCTTTTTCATTATTATTATCCATTAATTCATCCCAATTCCCTATTATTAATAATAGATTATTAATCATCACAGTCTAATTTTGTCGATATTTAGTTTAATTGTAAACAATTCAGGTAGAAAATAAATATTATCATTGATAATCAATTACCATTCAACTGTTAATTTAATTGTTTAATCACTCACACACACACACTAAAGTTAATCAGATTAAATTAGTTTCACTTGAGTGAAAATACTTAATGAAATTTAATTTCTTTTCCCATTTTAATCCCAATTCAAATTAATTACTAATCAATATCTTAATTAGTTAGTATTTTGTTTTTCTCAAATATTTATTACCTTTTAATCTTAAAATTGAAACAATTTAACAACAATTAATTTGTTTATTATTGAATAACAATCAACTTGACAGTTGCATGTTAGTGGAAAGAAATTGTTAATTCAATTTCATTGGAATCTCACATTTCCTTAATTTTTTTTCTCTCTTTTTCTTAATTTTCTTACCTTTACAATTTATCTTCTCTGTCGTTTCTCTTACCTGTCTAAAGGTAATTCTATTGGCTGACTCATACTCTTTATCATCATCTTCATCTTTCTTTCATCTTCTTCTTCTAAGAAACTTGTTCTCTCTCTCTCTCTCTCTCTCTCTCTCCATCAGTTAAAGTTTTGATTCTTTGGTTCCTATCAGTTGGATGTTAACTTTCAACCGAATCACATCAACGTTAATCTTTCATTTTCCATTAAATCTTCGTTATTAAAACGAATAGACAATTAAGTGACTTTTAAATTGTGCCAACGAAATTCAATCGATAATCTTTAATTACAATGGAAATTGGGAAAAGAAAAATTGGAAATTCATTGATTAGAAAAGTTAAAATCAGCTGATTGATTTTACCAACGGAATATAATTGTTTTCATCAATTTGAATGGTTTTGTCTCTTTTTTTGTTGTTGATTAGTTAATTTGCTCAAAGTGTTGTGTGTTTCAATGTAATTAAATTATCAACTATTTCAACGATTAATTTGATTGTGAATAGGAAGTAACAAAAATGACAGAAACAACAATCATGGAAAATAACAGTAACAATCAACAACAACAATTACCAACGACATTATTGATAAGTGAACAATCAACAAATATCAACAATATTGTTGACAATCAGGTTGATTGTGATTCACCAAATAATCAGAATCAATCTGATGATAATAATATTAATAATATTGTTATTAATAATGAAACATTTAACGATAACAACATGTCAACATTATCTTTATCTTCATCATCACCACCAACATCATCCTCATCACCAACAGGCTTAACAACCTCATCTCCATCCTCATCAACAACAACATGTACCACAACGGATGTTATTGAAAATCATCACTCTAATCATAATCATCTTTGGTCAATTGAGAAACAGCCAATGGTCAGTAATGACAATCACAATGATAAACAGCCGGAAATGGACAGTCTACTTGAGAAACTACGTAAAGGAATGGTAAGTTTACTAAGAAATTAACATTTAATTATGATAATCAACTTTCTTTAACCATATGATTATCAACAATTAAGAGAATAAGATAATTGTGTTTGTCTCTTTTTCCATTGAAATTAGAGTCATTTTCTTCACCTTTTTCTCTTTCGACTATTGTTATTATTCATTTACCTTTTCTAAACTGCTAATTAGTGAATATCATTTCTCTCTCTACTCTCTGACCACCAAGTCCTTCAGCCTTCAGGGCAAATACCTGAAATAATGTTACTCTCACAAAGTAAATGATAAATTTCACCATATCTTTGCCATTGAATGAAAACATTTTCATCTTCATCATAAATGGAAGATGAAAATACCTTTATCTTCATCTTTTTCGCCATTTTCTCTCTCTCTCTCTCTCCAACGAACTTTTTGTCTTCACTATCATCCTCATCTTCACTCTCCCAATCGTCTTTTTTTTTCATCAATTTTCATACCTTATGTCAGATATAAGACGACGATGACCTTTCACCCCCTAATGGACATTGTCCTTTCATCTTGACCATTTGCAAACCTCTACATTCAACTGTCAATCTAATCCATTGACAATAATTGTCAAGTAACAACGATTTGTAATAATTTTACCATTACAATTGAAATTTGATTTACCTGAGCAAAATATTTATCAACAATTAATTGTAATGCTAACTAATGGTCAATCATAATAATAATAATATTTCAAACTCAACCAACCATTTAACAAGTTAAAAAATGATTACTATTATTGATTATGATCAAGATGATTTATTTTTATTACAATTTAATGCAATAAAAATAATTTACAAATCGTATCAATTGAATTTTAAATACTTGTAATCAAAGTTAATCATTGTAAATATGCAATACAAATTGTCATTGGGTAAACTTTGCTAATGTCAATCTATACAATTAATTTACATTTTAAATTGTTTAATTTATCATGCAATCAATTAGATTTACCTTGATTGTGATTTAATTTGAAACGCATTTTGTGTCGCTAATCATTTGAAAATTAATCAATAAATTATGATCACAATTATCACATGAAGAGGAGAAATATTTTTACATGTAATTTAAATATCTTACAATTAAAATTAATGATCAACTGGTGATAACCATTGGATCATTACCTTAATTTTTTCAACAATTTTCAACAATTTAAATACAATTCCAGTTTTTATCTTCCTAATCATCTCTCTCTCTCTCTCTCTCTCTCTCTCTCTCTCTCTCTCTCTCTCTCTCTCTCTCTCTCTCTCTCTCTCATCCTCATCCTCATCACTCAAAATCTTAAATTATTACATCCTCATCATTTAATCACAATCCTCTTCATCTTAATCATTATCCTGATATATTCAAATAAATTCAATCATCTTTGACAAAACTTGGTGATGATCAGGTTTTTATCATCATCATCATCATCATCATCCTTCATCCTCATCACTTTTATCATCATCTCAATCATCAATTTCCAGGTAAAAACCATTAGCCAAATCAATCTAATCAATTGACCAATAAAATAGTTTAAATCAATCAACAAATTAACATTATCTAAATCACTTAATCATAATTAACTTTATATATATTTTACATTATCTGCATAATAAATAATCACAATTAATAGATTCCGTTTCTTAATTGTCAATGAAAATAACTTCAATTCCATTGATAAAAAGTTAATTCAGTTCTAGTTGTAATACATTATATAATAAATTATTGGTTTTCAATTAATATTCACTTTCATGACAATCAAAACTGATTTTTGTCTATTATTATTAATTACATATCGATAATTAAATCAATTGATTCAGTTAATGATTAGACTAAAGTCAATTATCAACAATTAACATCTGCTCCTTATGATTAACTTTTTAATCTCTCATTTAATTGTTACTGATTGTTTTTTTTTTGCTCGTTGTTGTTTCATTTGAAAGTTGATTAATAATTTGCTATTAATATTGTTATTGTATTAAATTTAATTTAGTTGGCTAATTGTTACCATTTATAATTAGCATCAAGGTAAAAGGTGATATTAACCAGATTAACTAATAAATCATTGAAGATGAAAACTTTAATCATGATGATGAAATTAAATCTAGTTAATAATAAACTTGTTCAACTCAAATTTTTCACTCCAAGATAATTAACTCAATTTAAACTCTTGATTATATGTTGTTGTTTAATCATAATTAACGAAATCATTACTTTTCCATTGGTAAATTGTTAATGTATATAAAACAACAATTAAATCAACTGTCAATTACTTTAAATTGTTTCAATTGATTGTTTATTTGTTTCTCATTGATTTTTAAATTGTCAACTTGTTTGTGATTCTCAATGAGTTTGATTAATCAAAATATTTTAATAACAATTTGATTACAGTTTAATCAACTTAATCCAGAGTTAATTTAATTTTAATCTGGTTGATGTACTTTTGCCTTGATTGTGATTAGATTATGTTATTAAATGTATGTTATATCAAATCGGATTATGATTTATCTTACTGATTATCATCCCATTGATTGTTAAGGTTAATCATTATATCATTTGATGGTTTTAATCACAATTAACAAACCGGAATCAATAATATACTTTAACGATTAAAGATGAATCTCTTTTTAATTTTCATTCCCTTCTCGTTTTCTGTTGTAATTGATTAACTTAATTCAGTTTCTATTCACAATCTTGTTAACCCACAATTAACAGTTAACGACACTTGGGTTACCTTTTTTATTAATTTAATTTTATTAACTTATTAATTGTACATAAAAATCAAAGCTAAACATGGTAACAATTTAACATTAATTAAGGTTGAACATAATCATATAAATTGTCAATTGTCAACAAATGATTAACGTCAGAATTGAAATAATAATGTAACACTTTGAGTAGTTTAATTTAACGTTTAAATCAGTAATTAACTTTTTCAAATGATTTAATAAATTACCAAAATCAAATATCAATTGATTAACCTAAATTTCAACTAACTATTAAATTGAATTGTTACAATCACGCTGGTTTTTTCATTCTCATTAATTAATTACCATCGTCACTTATCATCCATTCATGACAATTACAATTTTCGCCTAATTAATTAGCTAATTAACTTAACAAAAAGTAATACAAAAGGCTCAACTACATGATAATGATTAATAATTAAGAAACGTATATAAGATAATTATAGTTTCTTGTTGGTTACACTTTGTTTTCAATTAGCTAATTGTGAAAAAAAGTGTCATTGTAATCAAATTATCAATGATAATTGTAATTAATTGTGTGAATATTATTACATCCAAATCAAAATGATTAGATTAATAGTGTTATCAATCATATAATTTGTACTATTAGATAGAAAGTAACAATTAAGCCTAACTACCTTTGAGAATTAACAACAATCAACAAATTTTCTCATCGCAAACAAGTTAATTAGTTAACCATATTCTACTTATTGATCTTAATCATTTGCTTTTTCATAATCATCAATTTGACCTTAATCTTTTTCCATGAAAAAGTTAATCCTTCAACGAAATTTAAATCCAAAGGAAATTGTTTTAATCCTCTAAGGTTTATCTCTCCTTTCATTTTATCCCATTTACGTTGATTGTGGTTAACTTATTATATAACAGGTTCTATACTTGTAATGGTTAATATGCTTAATTTAATTCCCATCATGATTAACCTTCTCAATCGATAACAATTTAAATCCAAACAATAAGACAACAAGTTAATCCAAATGAATGATGAACCATTTTTTTCTGGACTGAATTAACTTTTACCAATTGATTTACATGATTATCATGATTCCATCCCTTTTAATGGCAATAATAATAATAATATCATCTTAATGATGATTATCTAAATAGTAATAATAACGATAATCATAATCTAAATATTAAAATCATCTACTTGACAAACAATTTAAATGATAACAAGTTTTATATTAATAACTAGTAACTGTCATTAACATTTCTCCCAATCATTATCTAAAGTTAATTATCATTGAATATGTAAAATCATTTAGTGATTTAATACTTTTTCATTATTCCAATTGATTAATCTACTAAATTGTTTACGTAATGATTGGGATTCAATAAGTAATGATAATGATTCTCATCCTGATGATTATTATTGAGACTTTTTCACCATCACAGAAAACTTAATACTGACCAAAGGACAGGAAAAGGAACCAAGTTTTCCTTCATCATCTTCCATCATTTTCAATTTTCTTCTTCCTCAGTAACCATTATTATCTTCATCTTTTTTTTATCTTCTTTATCATCTTCTCTCTCTCTCTCTCTCTCTCTCTCTAAACATCCGCTTAATCTTGTCCGTGTTTCTTTTCTGTAACATTCAGTATGACGATGATATTATTCATCAAAATTTAAACAGTAAACTGATAAACATCAAATGTCATGTCTTCCTTATGATACTGACAATTTGTAGTAACTATTACATGAGATTAGGAATTAAGATAACCAATGATTAGCTAATGATTAATATCGCTTTATGAAAATCACAGTAATTTATAGATAAAGTTTGATTATCGTTGCAGTATTGGCAAAATGAGATTGAAGATTATCATAATATTAATAATAGTTACAATTATATTCTAATACTGACTTGACAGTTAATATTGTCCCTTAATTGTAATCATGTTTATGTAACAGCTTATTTGAATAAAGAGAGAGAGAGAGATGATCATTCAACCTAATAACAATCAGTTTGATGATGATGAATGATTGTTACATTGATTGTGATGTTTTCTTTTACTTTCTCTAAATTGGATCAAACTAATTAAATTATTGATCATTCGTCATGTGTTGGATTATACAACAATGATCAACATCAAGGGATAAGATTGGTAATTAATTGTGTAATTAAATATCTTGTACAAGTTGTTTGTTGGTTATTTGGATGATCTTAACGATGGAGATGAAGATGATGATGAAGATGATGATGATTACCATAGAATAGGTTTCACAGAGTAAAGTCTCTAATGGATACTTGGTGTCTTCTAATTTTACCCTAAGGTTAAATTGAGGGTATAAAGTAGAGAAGAAGATGATGATAAAGTTGATGATAATGACGATTATGATGAGAAAGAAAAGAAAAGCCAAAAAAGGCATCAATCTTCAACGCGGTATATTGGCTTCTAATTCGATGAGGTTCCTCAAATTGTGTTGACCTCCAAAGGTTCATTTGTGTTGGTCCAACTTTTACCTGGAAAAGAAAATAGATAAAAAAAACGAAAGGTCAATAGACGTTCACAGAGAAAGAGAAGAGAAAAAAAAGGAGAGGACAGAGGTCAAGATACTACATTTTGTTGTATTAATAATCAACCTAATTTTCAGTTGATTGTCTTCAGTCTTGATAATCAGTCATTTTACTAACTAATTTGACAGATAATAATAGGAATAAAACATTGTAATGATATAATTAGTATAATGATTGAATATATAAAATGCAATTGAATTAGAAAGTTAAATATTTCAATCAACTTGAACCGGATCACTTGTTTCACTCACAATTTAAGGTATTTGACATTCGTGGGACAGTTAACCATAATTTTGTTGGTCTTACACCTCGAAGGCTTTTTTTATCCTAATATAATAACAATATTATGTGGGAACTTAAGGATGACGATTCTGTTTCCCAAGGGTAGAACCCAAAGATTTTAGAATCTAGAATGACCTGAGATATTTGACTTACTCTTCATTATATCTTCATCATCAAAATCGTCTTCATCTCTCTCTCTCTCTCTCTCTCTCTCTCTCTCTCTTGATGATTCGTGGTAACTTCTAGTGGACTCAGAAAAAAAGATTCCATGGCTTTTTCCTTGCTTCATGTTCCAAGTCAACAACAACAGGGAGAAGAAGAAACAAAAAAACCATCATCATCATCATCTTAATTTCCCACCAATAGATTCATCATTTTCAGATTATGATGATAGTGATGATGAGAATGGGCACTCCCTGTTGTTTTAATGTAATCATCACGATCCAAACACTGAATATATTCATTATAATCTTTTAAATTATCTGTCCTTTATTGTTTCGTCCAAAAGTAAACGCCTTTCGATTAAGAAAAAAAAAGTTAATGAAAGAAAAGAGAAACAAAAACTTTGTCATTATATCCAATAAGTGATTTAGTTAATTGTAATAGATTGTTGGACAGTTTCATTAGTATCAGTTATTACCTTGTTGATACATGAAAAGGTCTCTATTGATCTAGATGATTATTTTCACGTTTAAATTGTCATAATAATGTCACCAAGATGATTCCTTTTTCCCAATCAGAACTCATATTAGTTGATTTTTCCAGGGATAAGAAAAACATGAAGACAGAAATAAAGAAGAGCAATATTAAGGTTAAGAGGTAAAAGTTTATGATCAACGTCAAAATTAATGTTACCTTGATTTGTGATGAAATTTAGCCCATTTTCGGCGATTGCAGGTCAATTAAGGTTACTTTTAACCAGCGGGTAGTCTCATGTTTTATTACCATGGGAATCACAGCTACAAAGGTATATCCTTATTTTGGTTTCTCATCTCTCTCGTGAAGATGATTATTATCATCTCAACTTTAATCCTATTGATGATGATAATGATGATGATTGGAGTTTAATATTGATTCACAATGATGAGTGACTTTACTCCTTGGTGATGTTAGAGTTGTCAAAGTGTGTTGACATTTTTACGGGGGTAAAACGACTGTAAACATTGAAAGAAAATTGAGTTGAAGGGTAATTAAAGTAACCTGAATACAGAGGAAAAGAGACTAACTAGATTAGCCTTAAGGGTGATTCAATTTTGTTCAATTCAGAAGCATAAACAATAAATATTCAGTTAAATGTATTCCCACCTCTTGTTTGTTTCGTTGACTCTTTTTTATCAACATTTAAGAAGAAAAAAAAAACCTCCGAAAGTAATGATAATTGTATTCATCAGTTTCTCGAGTGATCCTGATAATTGTGTCCACTTCAGTAGATTGATTAGTGATCATATTGTAGAAGGTGATTAAAGGTGGAGACTGTTAAAGAAAATTCAATTGTTTTCACCTCCGGGCAAATAGATTAACCCTTTAACAAATTTCCTTCCTTTGATGGTCATTGATTTCATCGGCTGTAAAACGAAACAGATTAACAAGATTCGTTAGAAAACTTTGACCCAACACTCGAAGTAAAAAGCATAGGTCACAAGGTACACAACTTGACACTCTACTTGATACTTAAAAAACGAAATACTCACTAAAACCTTTGACAATTTAATCCGATTTGAAAATCTCTATCAAATTACCTTTACCTTTTTCCTTTGTGTTTCCCTATTGAAGGTAAACAAAAAAACAGCGAAAATGTTTCATATAATATGTTGAACAAATCTCTCCATCCAATATCTATACACAGAAAGATCCACTTATAAATCTGAAGAGATAATTATTTTCAGTCCAATAGGAAAGGAAAAGCCAAGAGGATTAGTAGATTATGAGGATTTCAATTGGAAACAATTAATCCATCATGATTGAGATAATCTTCATTCTGTATTCAGTTGACCCACTGCCACTTTTTCCTAATACCATTAGATGGTCACAAATCTAAAACGGGATAACAAAAGACTTTACAACTTAAACCGTTATCGAAAAAAAAAGTTCTAAAAGTTCAATTTCATGTAAATTCGATGAAAGTTATTGGGCTATTTTTCGAGGAGAAGTTGGAATCGTCACATTTGAAGAAAAGTTGATGAACCATTTAGTTTTTACTTAGAGAACAATTAACTCTCTATGTGATTAAGATGATTCTCTATTTCCTTTTTATTACTTTTACCTGAATGTTCAACGATAATTACGTTACCTGAATCTCTAGTGAGGTCTAATATTCATTTCTGTGTAATTCTAGTAAAACATTCAATTGTTTTGTAAGTTAATTTACCTTTTGACCGTAAATGTTGTTAAAAGGTATTCAATTGTTAATCGATGATCTTTTATTTTACTTCTCATCTAATACGTTTAAAGACCTTATTTAGAGTATCATTAGTATTAGAAACAAATGATAATAATAACAGTGGATGTAATAATAATAACAAACGAATAGAGTAGTAATCATGTAAAGTAGGAAAAGCTTTTCTCTCTCTCTCTCTCTCTCTCTCTCACTCTCGATGATATTTTGCATGATAAACGCCTCAGGTGAACGTCTAGAGTGAGAGAGAGAAACGATTAGAAAAGAAAAAAGCTCTTCGATTAGCTTCAACTAATATTATCTCTCTTAACTGATATTTATTCTGTTCCTTGTTCTTGTTTTCTGTCTGTTAGTTTTGTGAAAAAAAGGTCATATAATAATAAATAGAAGCTCTTATACCAGAATTGGCAGTTAATAATGACTTATGAGGTTCACCTTTATATTTTTCTTCTTACTGTTTTTACCTGAATTTTTCTTTAAAGAACTTAATTCATACCCATATGGATGCGATGCTGATGATGATGAGGATGGAAAAATGATAAATGATGAAAACCATGGGATTTAACGTAACCTTTATCATAAAATTAACCTGTTTACAAAAAAGAGACCCGAGTACGTTGATGATGATGAACACAGAGAGATGATGTAAAAGCATCATCACCATCACTTAAATATTACAAACGAAGAATCAAATTATCCCTCTTCTTTTTCCTCATCATCATCATCATCATCATTTTCTTTTCCAGGATTAACTTTTCTCTCTTCATTAATTAAGGTCCTTTTCTTTTGTAACATGTTTATAATTAACCAAAGCTCAACGATGATCAATTTAGTATCCAAAGAAGAGGATAAACCAAATGAAAGCCATGAAGAAGATGAATAGGATTAAAGAGATTAGTATATTGTTGTGTTCCAATGTGATATTGATTGTAAAAATTGATTAATTTTAGTGAATCTGTTAGTCTATTGTTTTTTGTTTCTCATGACACCATTACGATTCTGGTTGATGAAGTGAAACATTTTCTTCAGAATGAGATGATTAACTCACCATGAAGATAACCGATAAGAAGAGTTATTTGGAAATTCAATGGATGATAATTGATGAGCGAATTGAAACAACAAAGCAGATAGAAAATAAAGAGATGTGGAGGATAAGGAAGATGGAAAATTTGAAATAATATACAAGAGATTCCAAGATGATGATGATGATAAAACGAAGTAAAAAACTATTGGTAGCATCTTCCAGTAGCATTGGAGAAGTTATTTAGATGAAGCAAGCCCAAATCACGAATCGGAAATGATACCAATAAATTAATCTACGATCTTATTTTGGTCAGCAGCATATTCTTAAGAACAAAAAGAGAATCAAGTGAAGATGATGATGATAATGATGCTAAAGATGATAAGATGAGATGTGAAGAAGAAGCTTCCAACATTCCAACATGTTAAAATGCTCTCTCTCTCTCTCAGCTCCTGATTCATTATCATCATCATCATTACAGGTATATTATGGCGATGTTTATACAAGAATAAAGAAGAGAAAGAAAAAAAAACAAAATTCTGAAGAAACTGAAAAAGAGACGATGATGATAATAGTTGGTGGCTGTTATATTGTTATAAGTTCCCTGTCAAACCAGAATCCGGATTCGTAATCATTTCTCTCTGTCAAAGAAGAGAGAGAGAGAGAGAAATAGAAAGAGAAAAAAGAAAGAGATTCATCAGCTGATAATATCGTGGGTAAAAATCTCGAAGTAAACACTTTGTTTTTAAGGTGTGTCAATCATAATCGTGATCACCGTTGGCGACTCGTGACAAACCATTGAGCTAATTTGGCTTAATCATTATCATCATTATGTGAATTGAAGACACTCCTTAAAAAAGGAAACTTAAGTAAACAGAAATTGCGAATCATCAACATCCCTCAACTTTTCAGCTTTTGAATTTTATCAAATGTGTTGTTTTAATTTAATGTACTTTCGTTCATCATCTTCATCATCTTCATCTTCATCTTCATCTTCATCTTGTTGCTAGTTTTTTGTTTAATCATCTTTTATCATCTCTTTCTCTTCCTTGGATCATCACCATCATCATCTCTACTCTCAACACTATTTTCTCAAAGAAAATCTCTATTCACAATCAATAAGTTTATTTAACTTTTCTTCACCATCATCAACATTATTATTACTCTGGTTAAGATGCTAATCAATTGAATCATTGCAGGTCAATTAACTTAATGATGGTGATAAGATGAAGATGCTACAAGATGGATTATTTCATTTTTTTCCTCATCTCTTTTTCTTTTGCTCATTATCCACCTTTACCTGACCTTCACCAATCATGATTATAAATATATATTTGTAATATTGATGATATATTACATTTTTATTTCAAATGAAATTGATAAGAGTCTTTGAGATACTGGTGATAATGATTTAAACTAATTACAATCATAATCACAATCTGAATCAATTTTCATTTCTTTCATTTTCAATTTGTTTTTCATTTCAACTTTTTCAAATTCACTCAAAGTTTCTTGTTGTTATTTTTGATGTTTTTGTTAATTAATCATCGTTACCATCATTATAACGTGATAATTATCATTATTCAAACCAATTAACATGTTTAATCCTTAATTTAATCAAATTTTGAGTAAATTAATTGATTATCATTTAGATTGGGAATCTTTAACTCTTTTAGATTCCCAAAGTCTAAATGATGAAAAAAACAACAACAACATTGAATTGGATTTATGAATAGATCACAATTGATTCATTTGATTAATGATCATTGAATCTTGAATACAATTAAATTGGTTTAACTTACAATTTGTAAGTTACATGGTAAAGATTAACAAAGTAATTGACAATTAACTGTTTCAATCGTTTTAGGATTTGATGACAATAATTCACAATGAAATTGATCTCATCATTTTCGTCATTGAGTAACGATTATTTCAACTGATTACCTTTGAGATTAACTCGGAAAAATAAAAATAAATATTCATTAAAATTGATTCCATTGATTGTTTACATGGTTAATGATTAATCGAGAAAAAACTTTTCGTTTAATTTAATTTTGTTTCTAATGATATTTTTGTTTTTCTCTTTTAAGTTAATTGATGGATTGTCACAATTATTTAGATTTTTGAGTGAATTTCATGTTCTTGATTTGGTTTCATGGTGATAATATAGATGGAAAGAGAGAAATTATGTTGATTTGATTGAATTTGATATAAATTGAAAGCGAAATTGAAGAAATGACCAGTCAATTGGAAAGAATTGAGATGAAAACAACTTAATTAACTGTCAGAAATTGAAGCAAATTAAAGATTAAGAATTTCAATAGAAAATCAAAGGTATCATAATAATAGAGAGAAACACAAATCACATTCTCACATTACACAAACACTGATGAAGATGAAGATGTAAACATGACACATAGAGAAGAGAAAAAGATGATCAGGTGAGTGGAAGAAGAGAAAATAATAACAATAATTAGAATTAAATGAAGATTAAATTATTAGATGTCAAGAATGGAAAACGAAAACAATAATTGAAGATCATTTCCTTTATTCCTTTGAAACGGCTTCCTTTTTCCTCTCTCATCTTTCGTTCGGCTAAGATGATGTTCAGAGTAATTTTTTGTTCTATTCTCCAATTATTGTTGTTGATAAACAAACAATTTTCTTCTCATCATTTTCTCGTCATCAAAGAGACACAAAGGTTAAGGTGTTTTTCTTTCTCTTCTATAAACACTAAAGGATAAATCTTCATCTTTGAGATGATCTGATGATGAGGAGAACATTATTTCTTTTTCTTCTCTGTTTATTTACTAACATTCTCAGTTTTCGTTGAGACGAAAATTTAATTTCCAAGGAAAATCTCAACGGTTTAATGATCTTCTTCTGTTTATCCTTCTTCCGTTAATTGTGTTGTTCAAAAATTCAACAAGGTAAAAGATTTCTGATGATTATGAGGATCGAAAGGTCAAGTAAAGTCTCTTGATTAACTTTCTGAAACCAGTCAAGGTGAATACTTGACCTTTTCTCTTGATGATTTGAAAAGAAAACAGAGAGAAAGAGAGAGAGAGAAATTTATCTTAGGATAAATTCTGATGCGATTCGGGATGAATTTTTATTCTATCAAATATTGGAAACATGACCACAACAATTGGAATCACTTTCGCCTAAGATAATTTATCGATAACTTGTCACAATATGAGAGAGTTTTTTATTCCTTGTTTCTTGTTTTCTCTCTTTTGTTTTTCTATTGATTCTTTTCATCCTCATCTTTCCATTTATTATCATTTCTTATGTTACCACATCTTCAGTGAGCATCTTCAAGATGATGATCATTTTCTGTATTCTCATCAGAATCAAAATCATCATCATCATCATTTTCCTCCCTTGCTTTATCTTTTCTCTCTCTCTCTCTCGTTGTTTCCTCTTTCATTCTTGAACCATAAAAGTGTCCGATTTGTCCATTTTTCATCCTGATCGTATGATCCTCATCAACATCATTTCCATTTCCTGTTGTGGCTCTTAAACTTTTATTCCTTCAACATTAATCTATTTCACACAGGAAGTTCCCTTCCTCTAGTCACCCATCTTAACTCCTTCTCTTCCTACTCCACCCTTTCTCTATCCTATCAATTTATCCTCTTCTTTTAATTTCTTATCATCATGAACAACTCCTTTTCTTCACATCACCCAAATGTCACTAATCCAACTCAGAGAACCAGAATTTTAACCTTTCAATCTCCTTGTAACTTAACCCAAAATTTTGTTCTCTTTCTCAGAACTACAATTAAACTCACTAATTGTTCCCTTTCCCTTTCTGATAACATAGAAGATGCGAACTCATTCACAATCGATAATTGAGATTATCTTTCTCTCTCAACAATCAGACACTTTATCCATAATTGTCAAAATCATCTTGATGATGCTCGAGAATAAAATCTTTATTCAATGTTGATTATCATCAATGTCACCAAAAGAAAACATGAAGATGATAGTAGTCCCATTTTCCTAATGGTTAATTGATCTCTAACAAGACAAACAAAAAGACTAAAAGTTAACACAATTATCTTAACAATCAATCAATCATTTTGTACCAATTTTCTTATAACAATGTTAATAATCATTTTCTATTCTTTTCCATTCAGACCGAGTTAAGTCACCAAGGAGATGACTTTACGAAGCAAATGTGGGACATGTACGCGACCTTTGAAGATATGATCTCAGGTTCAGGTCAACGGGATGAAAGGGCAAGAACAACACTCTTGGAATTATCATCAACCTCATCATCTTCATCATTGAACACTCATCTTGGTGGTGTTGGTAAAAATGTCATCGATAGCACTCTTGTTGGCACCAATTCTTTGTCATCAAATTGTAGTATTGTTAATCAAGAGGTTGACAGTTTAATTAGTAGTAGTGATATTAGTAGTAGTGCCAATGGATCACCTGATTCGGTGTCTGATGAGAATGAGATTAGTATGATTAAAGCTGAAACAATTAGCACTCAAATTGTTGAGAAAAATTCTGTTCCTTCAAATGAATTAGACTCACAATTAGAATCGACATCAATCATCTTACCTGACGAAAGTTCAATCAAAAGTGTCGATAGTAATAATAATAACGGTACTGTTTCCACGGATAAGACTAATTGTCATCAGAGATTTCGACCTATTCCAACAGGTAAAGGTAAATTGTTACCAACTCGACAATCAACTGTTGATAAATTGGTTGACAAATCAGTAGCACCAACGACGATAAACCTCGGAGGCTATCAAAGTGATTCCGGTTCGAACTCATCACTGGCCAATCCTCTTCTGGACACTATTAGTTGCTTAACTTCAAGTGACCCTTATAGTGATTCGGATGATTATGATGTGACCCGAAATAAGGTCATTAATCAACGGGCTCGACGTCGATGTCGTCGTATGTTATCCGATCGGTCGATTCGTTGTTCACCTAATCATTTACATTCGTGCTGTTCATCGGACGCTGATTCCATTGGCTATGCAGGTTCTAATTCAATCGATTCAGGTTATAAAAGTCTTTGTCCCACACCCGAAGTACCAGAATCAATTTCGAATCTCTTACCCTACAAGGTACCAGAATTGAAGATCGATGATAAAGTCAATTCGACAGCGAAAATAGCAGAATGTAATTCTCTGGTTTCATCAAACTCTTCGTCGTCATTATCGGCTTTCCAACGATTAGGTGGATTTAATTCAAGAAATTCTTCAAACTTTCCTTACATTAATTCACCATCATCATCAACAATTTCCTCTGTATCGATGAAATTCCGGGATAATCCTCAGATTCAAACTCTAAATCGTGATCATCCGATTCCAAGTAGCTCATCATCATCCTCGATTTCTGGATCGTACGGTTCGAGAGGTGTGAATGTTTCCTCTCGATTGAAAAGTCAAACAACCGAAGCTCATCTTGAACATTTATTAACACTTCGTCAATCCCTTATAAGTGCAATTCAAAAATGCGAATCATCATCAACATCAACTCCAACCGATTCTCGAGTTGCTAGTCCAGTGATTTCAAGTCGATCAACAAGTCCAGCATCAACGGTAATTCCCAGGACAGTTAGTAATTTAAAGATAACACCATCAACACCAACCGGAGGTACATCATATTCACCATCATCATCATCAATTTTATCATCAACAACATTTGAAAGTAACCAAATGTTACAACAAAGCTCAATCCATCGTACAGGTTGTTCATCGCCCCAAACAGCAACAACAATCACCTCGAATGGACCAACAGGTAAACATTTGTCATCTTCATTATCACCTGAGCCTTGGTATTCACAACATCATTACTCACCTTCACCATCACATCACCAACATCATCAATACAATTACTATTCACAATCTCAATACAGTGCGACCGTTAACCCATCTCGATTTACTCGAACCATTAATAATCCCCAAATAAGCATCTCCGATCATCAATCACCCAAACCAATGACAAGTTCATCATCATTATCAATTGATTGTGATCTTATTACACCAACGCAATCATCAGATATCCTAAATGAATATAAAGATCAACAAAATTATTCCTCATCAACATCGGCAACATTTAATAATAATACTAATGGTAAATCAGTCCGATTTGAAGAGGTGAAGTTAACACCATTAACAAATTATTCACCTTTAAATAGTTTGATAATGTCCCTTGATTGTAGCACAATTGATTCAAATGATTATCCCGATGAATTAAATCCATTACAACAATCGAAAGAGAGATCAACCTCATCAATGAGATCCAACTCTTCCGTCTCATCAATTGTGACCTCAGGCCTTGAGACGGGAATCGTTGATTGTATCAATGATACTGGAAGCAATAATAGTACTAATAGTAACAGTTTAAATAGTAATTGTAATTCAACAATCAATAGTAATAGTAACACCGATTTTACCAATAATAATGTTAATGGTAATGGCAATAATATTGATGCTAATAACGGTATTAATTATAATATTTCATCATCTTCATCATCATCATCATCAGTTAAATCATCAACAGGAACTTTTTCAACTAAATCAATATTAAAAGATCCAATTTGTGCCAATCTAAGAACCGCAATTGAATCAGGACAATTTAATGCTGCTCAATCAATAGAGAATGAGATTGATTCACTTCTCTATGGTAAACATTTTAACGATTCAATGTCACAATTAACTAATCATCGGGAAAATATTACAATTGAATCACAATATTTACCAGCATCCAAAGAGATTCCAACTGATTTATATCATAAATCACAATCAACGATTGATGATCCATTAGATATTCCCTATGTTAAAATGATCGAGGAAAAATATCGAACTACAAATATTAGAACCAAATTAAAGGGTAAATTTTGATTCCATTTTGTATTTATCATTATTAATTTTTGAGAGAAAATGTTGTTTCTAACAATTTAATCCCTAATCAAGTAGTTAAGTGATGATAGAAACAATTAATCATGTTAATGTTTATTGTCCAAATCATACGGACTAATTTAACTATCAAATTAATCTGTAATTAAGTAAACAATATAACCTGCTGAACAAGATTAAGGTCAACATTCCGATTGGTAAATAATAATGATTAACTTGATAATTATCTCATTGTTACCCTGAGGGTGAAAAAAAATATTCTCAGAATAATTTGAACAATTTGATAGTTTAAAATGAATTGATAATCGCATAGGAATTAACTTTAATTCGGTTATCCGATATAATCTTATTGTCTATTCTAAAATGAAACTGTGTTAAATTGTCTCTCTCACACACACAATTAACAATTCTTTAAGATGTAATAATAATTCAAGTGATGATCATGATAATAATATTTTATTGAATTTCTATTAATCGGATGAAAAGAAGAAGAAAAAATAAGAAAGGAAATAAGAATATGAGTAGTTGGAACTTTCATGATTCCATGAAAAAAGAAAACAGGTAATGTTTATGATGGAAATGATTCACATTTAAAGTATATTAACTTGGCGTAAATTTGGTAACTAATTTAGCGAGAAAAACAGTAAATTGTTACGTAGATTAAAGCAGAGAGAGAGAGAGAGAGAGAATTGTTAGATTGTAATTGATGATATAATCGAATTGATAAACAAAATATAAACTTGATGGAGAAAAAGTTCTGAAGAAATTGAATGTTACATTATTATCACGAAATGATCATAAAATTTTCAAGAATTAGTAAGTTATGGTCAATTAAATGGAGACTTGGAATGTAGTTATTGTTGCAATAGATTACGGAAAGATATTTAATCTTGATTGTGATCCAAACTGCTACTTAAATCCGGTTATTTGATTAAGTTGTTGTTTTGTTTTTTGCTTTCGCAAAAATATACAATATATAAAACCATTATTATCCATGAAACAATTTAGTTCAGTTAACGGGATTTGAATGGATAATGTTTAAGGCAAATCTTTTAGGAAAAGATTTACAATCAACATTTTCGTTTTCTTTTATTAAATTGTGATTCTCAACTAAATTGATTGTGTTTTTGTTTCTTCCTTTATTCTAGATCACGATGATACCTTTACAAGTCATTTCAGTGATAAGATTAATGGTAAAAGTAATGATATCATTGATCCAACCAGAACCGTTGATGATGTTAATGTAACTATGAATTACCAAAGGAAATCACCTTCGAGTTATCTTGTTAATCATCAGGGTGCTAATCATTTTGAAAGTCAACACGTTTCCATTTATCACCATGATAATCATTCTCATTACCAAAAAGAGCATCAATTGCGAAATTGTTCATCAAAGGATTTGGTGGATTCCCGGTTAGATTCAATGTCGAAAAGTAAAATCAGTGAAATGGCCAAATGTATGTTAGGTATTCTCGATGAGATTGAGATGAAAAATTCAATTGAAAATCGTTTACCTAAATTGGAAACTGGATCAGTTAGACTTCGGGAAAAGGTCAATTATTCGAAAGATAGACCTAGACCAAGTTCTGCTGAGTTTAGAGGATCATTAGAGTTTAATTCTGTTGTAATGAATCGTAATAACATGGAAAATGAAAGTGAATCATCTTATAACTCTCTTCCTGAATATCATATTTACGAAGAGGTTGCTTACGATTATATGATGAGAGGCGAACACCCGATTCGATCAGCATCACCTTCATCCAGTATCGTCACTAATCAACGTAAAGAAAGGCCACCAGGTCGAAGGATCTTACCCCCTAATCCAAGTGGATCGACGAGTATGTTGACTAATTTACGATTCTCTGGTAATCCGAGAGGATCTTCATCCATCTATCGATCATCATTAAAAGATTTGTTCACTAAATCTTCCGATGGAAACAATAACGATAATCATTTGTCTAGAACTGCTGGACGATATGAGACCGAATTAAAATGCTTCAGATCTTCATCCTCATCGCCGTTATCAAGAATATCAACAACAACCAACAACAATCAAATCTCATCTTCGACAATCAATAAACCAAACGGTCAATCGACTCGAAGAAGTTGGAGTCGAGTCACAGAACAACCAAAGCAACGGGGTAACCTTTACTCTCTATTCACTGATCCAAACCAAAGGATTAACATTGGAAGATCATTGCGAAAGGATTACAATTACAATCATTCATCAACAATTAACCATTTGCAGATTTACAATCAAATGGATCAATTTTCATCATCATCAACCTCATCTGAATATGGATTTAAAAATAACTAATCTATCAAATTGATGAGAACCATTGACTTTTTTAAAGAAAACATTTCCTATTCAATCTGATCCTTTTTTGTTAAGTTCTCGTTGTCTTTTTAATTGTAACAATTAACATCTCTTTGTACTCATAACATGTACTTGTATCTGCTTTTTTTTTGCATTTCTATCTTATTAATTGTAGTCAATCAAACTACACTCATTTGATATTAGCAAGCGAGTGAATCATAATTAGATTGTACTCATTTTTGTTTACTGTTTGTAAATCAATTCAATTTATTTCAATTCGTTTTTATATCATTATTACCAAGTATTAACTTTGGTAATTATAATAAATGAATCAACAAATTCTACAAAATTGTTCAACAAGATTAGTTTGTTCAGATTGGAGTTCCGTTTTAAAAGTTCCATCAACAAGTTGCATTCTCAGAAAATTAAATTATCACATTGTTTGGAAAAGTTCACAATTAAATTTAGAAGCATAACTTATAATAAAATTCATACACCAGATGGCAGAACGTGTCGTGTTTTGGTTCGTTTATGGCGGGAAAAGAAAGTGAGGAAAATTTTTCTTTTCTGTTTACATTTTTTACTTTTGTTTTACTTTTTGGTACAATTTCATTTTTAATTAGTTAATTGTTATCAAACAACGGCCATTGCAATTAACTGATCTGCTAAATTGTCAACTATTCTTGTCCCAATTGTTTTTTTTAATGTGCTTCCAAATGTTTTCTTTTTCTGGTTGAAAGTTTTTCTTGTCTCTCTCAATCTTTTGGAGATCTTAATCTTTACTCTTTTTTCTGTTTTGATTTTGGTTTTTTAATTATTTCGATTGTTTTAAACACTTTTTAATTATGTCTTCGAAAAGATTATCGTTTAATGAGGTTCTTGGTAGTCTGGATTGTGTCGCTTATGAACCAGAAACCGATTGTAAATCAGCCTTTTCTGTTGACAGAGCTTTTCATGCCTTCCGACATCAACGTGATCTTTTTTATCAACTTTATGACAATTGGAAAAACTTTCAATCGCAAACTTCATTCTCATCTACTCATACCTCAAGTGATATGAAAAATCAATTGGAAACTTCGGTTGGTCGGCTTGTATCTCTTTCTCATGATGCCTCCAACATGTATCATTTGGCTAAATTATTTGTCTCTCAACTTATCCGAACCTGTATCATGGGAGGAACCAGGAATTTTCTTACAAATGATCAATCAGATCAATTTCTTTCATCGATTCAAAACGATAAACTGAAAAAACTAAGGAAACGTTTAGATCATGCTGAAGTAGAACCTCCATCTACCTTTAATGATGAAGAATCTTTTTTCTATCAGTTTATTGTCACCATAAAGAATCAATCATTTTACTCTTATCTTAAGTTGATGTTGGTTCAGAAAATTGAAGAAACCGATAGATGTTCACCCGTTTCCGGAGAGACCGATGAAGATCTGATTGCCGACGAGAAGAATAATATCAAACATCAATTTACGACACTTTCGCTGACCCTTCAAGTTTTGGCCAAATTTTTGGGTCTCGTTGTTTTCCTACCTTATCAAGTTTCCAATTCGTGTTCCCTTCAATTCATTGAGACTCAAGTTTCACTTCGGAAAGATGATGTTTCCTGTATCAATTTTATCGATCTAATCAGAAAATCGGTCGAGTTGAGGAAAATATCCCTAACCATACCCTGGATTCTTCAATTTCTCCGACAAATGGATACAGTTTCGCCTCGACTAAAGTGTTATCAGGATACAATTAAGGCAATTTGTAAAGTGAAAGAAAATCTATCATCAAATAGATTCAAATGTGATACCAATACGAAGGCTTATCTTATCAACATAATCAATTCTTTCAATGAAGATTACCAGAATTACAAATATTTGGAAACTGGTTCAGGGATTGAGTTTTCTCGTGACGTTTCAACAATCAACTTTGATGAATATCATGGATTAATTGACGAGGATTATACTTGTAATCCAACTGTTAATCTATCGACAATCATAACAAGCCCTTCGAAACCTTTGATTGTCACAGCACCATCATCTTCATCGCCTCAGAAAGAAAAAAATCGATTAACTCCAAGAAAGATTCGTCCAGTTACTCTGACAAACAATAAACTAAATTCAACCGTTGGAATTAATTCACCTCGACAGTTACAATTTCAAGAATTAATCGCTGAAAATGGTAAAGAAATAGTTCGAGAATTAGAAAATGATTTTCTAAGTCTTCATCCAATGTCTCTGGTTAAAGTGATCGAACTGGTTTCTGAACGAATCTATTCGAGGTGTATTAAGGAATTGAAACATTCAATAATCTATCAAGCTAAAGAGACAATCACTGATCCTAAATTATGCGAAAATGGAAAACCTTGTTTTCATCGAGTTCTAACTGTCAACTCGATACGAGCTTTTTGTTCAGAATTTGCCCACGAATTTTGCTCACTCGAAGTGCCAAAAATTATTCCTCTTCTTCTTTCGGTTCACGATTACACGAAAGACACAATGACCTTTGCCGCGAGATTAACTGTCCACAAAACATGCGAGAAATGCTGCCAATGGATCATCAGCAATATTAACCCCCAATGGTTGACCAGTTTCTTCAAGAACTCGACAATTTCCGATGAAAAGTTGGAGAGAAAATTGGACATTTCTGGTCCATTTAATTCAGTTCGTGATTTGATTCGAAAGTTATTAATCCAAAGCGGCAAATCTTTTCCCGATCTTGTATCTAAAATTAGTTCCTTAATCACTGAGCTAACCAATGTACGAAAATCTAATCTACCAGAAAGACACAAGAAAATATTGGATACTGCAATTCACGATTTAACAATCAGTGTAATTGTTAACTCTCCCAATCATCTTACCAGAGAGACGGTTAATCATTTGCTAAATTATTGGAAAACTTTCACCATTAATTTGACCAATTTTGTTTCTCCTCGAAATGTTAATCTGTTAAATCATTGTCCCAATATTAACGTTAGTTGGGATAAGTATATTTACTTATTAACTGAGATAATTAATTGTGATATTTATTCAATCAACGCTTTTCAAATTGATTGTTTATCGACACTTAAGCAAATTGATCACGAGAGAATCACTTTTTTCACCTCTTCTCTCAAAACGATCATCTCGGACATTACGAAAAAATCACCGAAAAAAATTAATTTAAATGACTTGTCCAACTATTTGGATGAATTGAATGACATTGATTTTCCAGCGCTTGGTTGAAACAATTAAACTGTGATCGTAATTAACATTTAAATTGTCCGAAATTAACTTTTACCCAATTCCAATCCATTTATTAATATTATTGTAAATATTATTGTAAAACCTTGACCATACATTTTAATTTATACAATGTACATTTAATTGTAAACTTGTGAACCGAATTAAGTAAAATGCAACTCATTTTACAAATTGAATCATCTTAATTTGCTCAGCTGATTAAAGAAGCTAAATTGGCTTAAGCTAATTAGCTAATCAAGGTTAGAGAAAGTTTTTAAAATAAACTAAATAAACACTTGATAGATTAAAAAATTGATCAGTAAATGACAATATGAGAATTTTAATTGTTTTAAATTATATTGGAACAATTGAGAAAAAAAGATTCCACTCAATTTATCAGATTATCTGTCGATGATTAACTTAATTGGTCAAAATGATTTATCATCAGTTACCAAGGCTACTGACCTGATGTTACATTTAATTGTTGCTACTGCATTTCGGACGTTAGTTAATCGTCATTACCAAGACTCGTTTTCACTCCTATTTCATTTCCCTGCGTATATTTAATTGTTGATTGTTGGAAACCAGGAAAGTTAATTCACTTTTTGTTCAAAAGACACGTAATCTTTTCGGATATTTGATTAGCCACTTTTTTCTTCAGTTGAAATCGTTTGTTCGTATTGCGTTTTCGTTTCTCTCTCTCCTTCGAACCAGGTCATTGGATCTAAAGATTGTTTTTATCTTCTACTGGTGTTGTCCTAAGCTCTCTCCTCCTCTCTCTCTCTCTCTCTCTCTTAATCATTTGAAAGACGTCAAATTGTTGTGATTTAATGTTAATCATTTCTTTCACCATGTATACTTGTTGATAACCTGTTTGTCTACCTGAGGCTGTTGTGACTCATACTTTACGCAGGTATCTCAGTTTTGTGAGAAACTGATAAAAGTGACATTGTTTTGATTGTTAACTGATCATTTATCGTTTACTTTCCCAACTGTTAACATTAATAACTTTTCCATCTTATTGATATTTTGATCATTTATATTAATATATCGTATCTTGATCATCATCATCATAATGGTTAATTCACTTTCTTTAAATCAATCACCTATTGGATCTTCAAGTGGACCAGCGACAACTGCGAATACCTTTGGTAATCTGACCTTTGATCAGCCAATGGGATCAAATTCGGCTCCATCTTCTCTTCGTGGTCCATCTTCCGGTTCTTCGTCTTCATCTTCAGCTCTTAATTCAGGTAATTCAATCGTTTTTTCTGGACCTCAACCTTTGATACCAGAAGAAAATAAAAGTGGCAGTGACTCTGCAAGTGACACGGGCTCTGATTGCGAGTGCGAGGACGATAATTGTGATTGTGATGCTTCTTGGATTGAACTAACAGCTGATGTTCCAAGTATTGATGGTAAAGAAATCACCGATAAAATTGATAACATGTTAACCTCTCTCTCGAAAATTGATACTTCCACATCAGTTGGACCTTCTCTTAATCCTGGTTTAGTTGATTTAGAGCAACAATTGATCACTTTACGTGAAGATAACATTCGACTTCTCTCCGTTTTGGAAGCTACGAACGAAGCGATGAAGAAAAATCTCAACTATGCTCAAGAATTGAAAGGTGAATTAAAATCATCTTACAATGAATACGATTCTCTCAAATCTTCTGCCGACACTGCAATCGATCAACTTAGAGCTGATAATGAGAAATTACGTTCTCAAGTAAGAGACTTGGAGAATGAGCTTCGAGAACGGAACAACGAACCAGTGGCCTATCATCAATTTGATGTGGCAAAAGAAATGAACATGCAGGAAATGAGTTCACAAATCGCTTCTCGTGACATGAGGATCAATCAACTAATGGGAGAGGTTAACAATCTTAATTCTCAACTGGAGAGAACCCGATCTGATTTATCTCGATCTTCCAGTCAACAGTCGATGAACTTTGCGCACCAATCACAGCAACAATTAATGCCTTTTGGTGGTAAGTCACCTCTCACATCGGCTCCATCCTCGATTGGTGGTGATCAACCTAATAGATCAAATGTCGAAGAGAATTCAACAGCTCAACCAGATAATTCTGCTCAAACTTCCAACAGTCCTGGTTTTCTACAGAGTGTCCTCCGTGAGGTGACCACTTTAAAGTCGATTATTGATCTTCTAAGGGGAGAGAAACAAACGCTTGAATCGCGATTGGATGGTCGAAAACATCGATCGGGTAGACATTCTCGTAGACATCATACATCGCCCAACATGGGGACAAGTTACACTGCAAATGCTGCTCAGGGTCCGATTCCAGAACAATCGTCATATCAACCTGATGTTAACATGGAAACTGATCCTTCAGGCCAACAACATTATCATGGAAGACACCGAAGGCATCATCGTCATCACGCTTCAAGATCTTTACGAAGATTGGAAAAGCAAATGGCCAAAACTTCAATACCTGTCGTGAATTCAGCATTTATGTTCAAAGGGTATACAACATATTCAAATCAACCACAATAATCATTTTCAATCTGATCTATTAATTAGAATAAGATCTTAAATATACTCACAATTTACTCTAGAGAGTTCTTTTAATATCTCCTTTGTGTTGACACATAATTTTGGGGTTTTCCCTCTCCCATTTTGTAACCATGAAACTCATAATTTCATCTAAATTTCCAATAAATTGAACAATTTGACCATTTAACTCACTTTGGTAACAACAAATTACCAAAATAAACTCAATCCATTCAACAAAATGTCAACAATAAAAGTCACATTTCCTCTTTACAGAGATTGTTTATCTTCATCACGAATACAACGAATCCATTTTGATTAACTATCCAATGAACTTTTTGCTTTTAAATTTCAAGAAGATTCTTATAAAAAAATCAATTTCAAAGAAAAAGAAAACCTCAATCACCTGAACAATTAAAAATCGTAAAAATGACAAATCAGCTCTTTGGGATTCCAAAGTTACAAGTCTCTGGTTAAAAGGTCATTCAGGTCGGGACATTCATCATAATTGACTACAGTGTGGATTTAATGTTGGCCCTTCTCACTATGGAACGGATTTGAAAAGATATTTAAAAATTTTACAATCGGAATGAAGGTCAAAATTTACGAGAATTTGACCTTATGTTGTTAACTAATTTCCCGCTTGAAAAAAATAAACAATTCGTAAGAATAACAATTGAATAGAATAGTCTATTTATCGAGCAAATTCTTTTCTGCTGCCATCTAACGGATTATGAGAGAAAGAACATTTTTTTCTTTTCGCTTTTTCGGTTAAATGAATTATCAACAATTAAAGTAATCGCGTTTCTTTTTCACAATTAAAAATGTGAACAATTTTAATCATCATTAAAAAGTGATCTCTTATTACCAATCTTTTCATTGATCTATATTCTAAAGGTTAAAGTGGGTTAATCTTTTTCTGTTTAATTGTGTTTACTGTTAACCGTTTATATTATTGCTCTTTGTTGAATCTAATATTCATTGGATAACATTAACTCATCTAATTTACCAGTTACACTCAATTCTTTTTTGATTTACTATTAAGAGAGCTGATAATCATTTAAACCATTGGTAAGAAACTCACACAATCAGCTTAATCACTAAGTATAAATATTATATAAGGTTTCTCTAGAATCATTTGTTATTGTTGATAATTTGATCTCTCGCACCTTCTGTTTACCTTTACTTTGTTTCTATTGATCACTTTTCTCATATGTTCTCTCTTCAGATTTAATATCTTCTTCCACTTTCGAAGGTTTTTTGGTTATAAAACTGACCAAAGCGACTATAAAGACGTTAAATTTTTTAACCAGAAAGACTTATAATCCTAGAAATGTATTATCATAATACATTTGTAAGAGAAAATCATCTGTTTAAACCAGACTCTTATTAGACTGAAAGTTTAGCTTTTAGTTAGAGAATCTGGTTTTCCATACAACCCAAACCAGGAAGTGACTTTTTCTGAGTTCTTTTTGATGTATATTCTTTTTTACTTCTATCTTCTTCTCCCTTTATTATCATCATAATCATTTTTTTTTCTCTCACTTTACAAGCTCTTAACTTCTTAATCTTCACTTCTTTTAGTAACAACAACAAAACACCAGCATAAACAACAAAAATCTCACCATCATCTTTACAGGCATGAAAAGAGATGATGAGCAAAAAGTGATTACCTTATTGGTCAATCATTTGCAACAACTAATTCCAATTCTTTCCACAAAACTCAATTCCAATCATAACCTAATCATAATTTAAATTAGACACAAAAAATCAACAACAATAACAAAGAAAATCTGTTCGTACTCTTTGAGGTCAATATTTTTTCTATTCTTCTTCTCCTTCACAGTTCTAACCAAAAGCTGATCCACTAAATATTGAGAAAAATTAACAATGAAATAATTTGATTCAAATTGTTAATTACTTTCAGTTTAATTTTCAAATTAAAACTCCAACATTCATCTAGCACCACCTACCGTTTAACGCTTAACTTAAATTCATTTCTAAATCTTCTTCCTCTTGATTTGTTTTTCTCTCTTCTCTTTCTCTCTCAATCTTAGGTCAAATCAAGTTTTTTGTTGAATACTGTCGATATTTGTGATATACCAGATAAACAAGCAACCAACTGATCGTCTATTGTCAATCCTATCACCTATTAATATATATTATTCCCTTCAAATGGCGGAGAGTCTAGTTGATAATCTGCCTACTCGTTACTTTTGCCATAAGTGTAACCAAGAGATCAATCCTTTACCAGTGAGTAGAAATTTCTGTTATTTTTTCATCTCCTTTCCTCTTCTGCCCTTTTCTTTTCTCTCCATACTCTTTACATTACATTTTCTTTCCTTTTCTCTCATTTTAGTTATTGCTTTCCTTGTTTTGTCATCTCCCAAGTAATTAAAATTCATTAATTTATACTTCCAATTCCTTTATTGATGTAATTCGCTCTCTCTCTCTCTCTCTATTTTTCTCTTTCCAGCTCTTTCTTTTACTCTCTTTCTCTTTCTCTCCCTGTGTCTGCCTGTTTCTCTTACCTCTGTCTTTTTATTTGTTTATCTGCCTGTTACTAACCTTGTGATTTCTGTTTTTGTTGTTCTTTTTTCATATAATTACAACAGGAATTCAAATGCCCAGGATGCAGAGAAGGATTTATCGAAGAATTAACCAATGATGCAAATTTAGACACGAGCAGTGATGAGTAAGTCTATCAGTTAGCGATTCTCATCTTTCTTTGGTGTTTCCATCATCAACTCATGTGTCTTGTTACTTATTCTTCATCTTAATTTATCTTTCTACAGTTCAGAGCACTATGATAATAATGATAGATACGATGATGTTCGAACTGGTGAAATCTTACGGTAAGTAGAATATTTCAATCTATTCAATTCTTGTCTACCTTTTAATTGTGTTTCTCGTACAATTTGGATCACCTGTATATCTAATTTGTTGTTGTCTATTTTTAGGGTTCTTCAATTATTCACTGAAGGCCAGCCCAGTCCAAGAGGAAGTCGTGGACGTGGAATGTTTGAAATGGCCATACCTTATCTTCAAATTCTTCATGGAAATCCCGGTGATTATGCTTGGGGTACATCAGGTCTCGATACTATCATTACACAGGTTAGTTTAGTAACTGTTTTCATTATCTAATACACATATAATCTATTATTGATCATCTTCAATTCATTACTTATCATTTTTATTTTTCTTGTTCTTTTCCACCAGCTCTTGAATACAATAGAAAATAATGGCCCTCCACCAATGCCTGAAGATGAAATCAAGAAACTGCCGACCATTAAGATTTGTCAAGATGATGTTGATAAAAATCTTCAGTGTACAGTCTGCATGGACGATTACAAATTAGATGAACCGGTTAGAATGTTACCATGTAATCATGTCTATCACAATGATTGTATTGTTCCATGGTTAGAAATGGTGAGTAATTTCATTTTCTATTTATATAACCGTAAATTCATGTACTTGATTTGCAATTTAACTTATTAATAACAAGTTTATTTTGTAAACAATAGCAAAAGAATATGATTTCTACTCGTTCTTATCATGACAATATACACATTATGTACTACGTTTTAGATGAAAATACTTACAAGTAAATTTGCAGAAAGATTAATTCAATTAATTGTTTCAGCTGATAAATTGGTAGCAACTTAAGCCAATCACATACATATAAATGAGTATATGTATGAATAAGTGTGTCAAAAAAAACAGCTAATTAACATTGAAAACATTGAGCTTTTTTCGGTTAATTGTATCTTGTTTTGAATATTTAACTTAAATCTAATTGTTTGTTAGTTTCAATCTTGATTGCTTTAAGTATCTCAAGATTTAAAATGCTACATTGTGTTTCTCATATTAGTATCAAACCATTTATCCTTTTGATTAATTTTCTGTTTGTTTTTTATTTTCTTTATTATCTTAGCATGGGACATGTCCTATTTGCCGTAAACTTTTGAACGAGAATCAACCAAGTCAGCGGAATTGCGAGAGTCGAAGCTCATTATCAAACAGTAACCAACAAACATCACAACAACAACAACCCGTTAATCAAAGATCATCATCAAGTAGTAATAGCAACTCGACTAATCATACCGCAGGTTATCGTGATTTATTGGATTACGATTGATTGTAAACTGTAAAAAAAGTGAAAAACATAGAAGATTGTTTTTACTACCCGGTATAAGAAAAATAATTAACTTTATTTAAATCTTACTCCATTCACAGCAACAAAACATTACAATCTATCAACAATTATTTATCTAATTAACATGAGCTCAATCTGATTTAGATGCATCCAAGTTAATTACAATTCAACAGTTGTTGAGAAAGCAACAAACTAACTAACTAGTGAATCAGTTTGTTTCTGTCATGCACAAAATTTAAACACTCAATTCATGAGGGGCCCAATTACTTGGGCTTTTGAGGAGTCACAAAATTTTGTGTGTTAATTGTTCGCGATAAACTTTTTTTTGTTCTCAATTGTACTAAATTAACTGTGAAAAATTCAAACATCAAAAGCCAAATAAGGCTCAAAAGTATCAACAATCAAACAAACATGATAAACGTTACTAATCAATTTTATTAATTAGTCCATTGAGACTGAATCTGTATAATTAGGGAAAAAATTGGGAGACTGATTTTTTGTATTGATAAGTTGACAGTTTTCAAATACAAAAAATCAAAATACCCTTAGGGCAGCGAATCTCACCTCAATCGGTGTAATTAGCTGATCTAATCAGAATCGGGATTCGCTTTTTTCGTGTGAGAAAAAAACTAATACTCAACAATTTAGATTTAAGCTTATTAATTGTCCTCTTTTTGTTTACTTTTACTAGTGTCTTTTAATTGTCTTAATTGTCAATAAATTATTTTGACAAAGAGACAATTTCATAACAATCAACTGATTTGTTACTTGAGATGATCAGTTAATATTTTTTTATGAGTAAAACTTAGTCATTGATTTAATGATTAGTTAATCACTTTGTTGCAATGGTTAGTCAACCTAAATTGTTGCTTATATTTATCATCAATCAAAACAGAAAACTTCTCTTGGTAAATTGTTTGATTTGAGAAAAATTTACCATCTCAGCTGGAAGTTAATTAACTTGAGTACTTTTTGATTGTGATTTATCAATAACATGAAAATGTCTCAAGAAATAAATTGTCAGATTATCAGTAAACGAGGAAAGAAAAACAAAATTGAACAATTAGTTTTTCGCAAATTACCTAGTCAACTGTTAATCTAAATCATTTCTGTTTTTCTGATTCAACGATTGAACAATTAATTGATTGTCTTTAATTTGCTCTTTGGTTACCGTTTGTACAAAACGAATACAATTTTTGTTATAAATGTAAAAGTGGCTTTCGAATCTAAATAAATACTGATTTTTGCCTTTCTAAATTATATAAATTAGTTGATTAGTTGACTAAATATTATAAATTGTTGAATTAAACACGAGATAAATAATATAATAGATCTTGAAAGATGTAAGCTTGGTAAATGTTTGAAGATTGAGATGAGATTGTTGGTTTAACCAAGAGACAAATTCGGACCAGATCGAAATTCATAATTAGTTGATTGTTAGGTCTCCATTGGAAGTCAATCTATTAACTAAAAGTAGATCATGATGTTGGAAATCATAATAAGCTTGAAAATGGAAGGCGATGTTTGTTAATACGACCACATATTCAGCGAGAGCAAACAAAGTGTAAACACCGGGCTCACAGAACCAATTGTGCCGATAATATAAAACGATGGCTAATCCAATTGAGATCAAATTGGTATATTTAAGAAATGATTTAATCCTCCTTGATTTGTAGGTTGAATTAGTGACCAGGGTCATTCCAAGTGAACCAGAAATGATGAAAATAGTAAAACAAAAGGCATGATAAACTGAACAATTTACAGAGAAAAAGAAACAAACAAATATTAGATTAAGAATACATTGTAAATAAATAACTGAAAGAAAAGAGGTAAATTGTTCCAATGAAACTCTCACCATGATTCTCAGTTGATCCAATGTATGTTAATCCAATTAGACTTGTAATCTCAATTAGGTTGAGTAACAGAGTTTGAAATGACCCATGGACAAGAAGGTAATACATGTAAGTGACCAAATATCTCGGCCCTGAATGAATGGCAATACAGATTCGCCAAACATATTTCTGAGGTGAATACGATCCAACGGAAGCGCTAATTGATGGAAGGTAATTAGACACTCGACAATGGGTTGAAGTTGATTCTTTGAAATTGAAATAAAGTGACCAAAGAACACAGAAGATGAAACTGCCCAACGGAAGAGCGGTTGTAATAACCGCTAGATGAGTAAAACTGAAAAGAAAACATTTATTATCTTTATAGTAAACCAAAGGTTTCAAGTTCTTTGTTGATTTCATTCAAAAATTGGTTAATCTCTCAATCTCCAATTTCCAGGATCACATTTAAAACAGAAAACAGAACCATTTGAAAGTCGAAACATTAACTTGTATAAACCGTAATCATCTTCAATAAACATGAACGAAAATTAGCTAATTGTTTACAATTAACCAAGAAGGTGATGTTTACAAAATCTATAACCATTCACTGTTTACACCTTGGACCCAATAACCAGTTTCTTTTACCAGAATGAAAAAGTAACAGGTAATCTGAATGGAGAGAGACAAATATTTGTTATGAGTTTAATCACAATTAAACTGTGGTGGAAAATTAAACAATAGAAATTAACTCACCTTAGATTGTTCCATTGATCATCACAATTAAAGATGACAAGTTGATTGAGAAAACAAAACATTTCCTTTGTTATGGATCATCAAACTGACCAAATAAACAATTGATTAACCAAAATAATTTGGAAAACATTGAATTGGATTGATTTTAATCTTACCTTCATCTTTTTTCATCTTTAATCGCGTGCTTAATTGATGAAAATTGTGAAGCTTTAATTAACTATGGAAATATTAATTTGAGAAAAGAAATTGAATTTTTTTCTTTGTTTATTTTTATTTCCAATGATTTGGTTGCTTTGGTAACGTGGAAATTAATTGTAAACAAATGAATGAAAATACGTTTAATCTTATGTAACATATGAGACAATTAATTAATCTATTGATTTCCAGTGGAAAATAATGTCGGAAAAAATTGTTCTAGTTCCAAGTTTAGAGGATCTTTATTCTGGTTTCAACGATTTTAATCCGGTTCTTGATTCTAAGGTGAGTTTCCTTTGATTTAGACAATTTAATTGATCTCATTAAGCTAATTTATATTTAATCCATTCGAATTGTTGATTTTCTTTGTTTTTCTCTCAATTGAAGGCATTACAATACGATGAAGATTTCCAACAGACTGTACTTAAAAGTAGCTATGGAAGACGAGGTAACACTGGTTATCGGACGAGCGGCACCTCGAGAATGGGAACAGCGGGTTATAATCGAGGACTTGTGTCCACTTCGAGACGTAAATCATCAACCTCAAGTCTTAATCAACAACAAGCCCCTTCGACGGCCCGACCAATGACCGCAGTTCGTGGTGCTGGTTACACTTCATCGACCCATAAAAGTCCATCCGGTTCCGGGATATTCGACCCTTTATCTCAAAACAAATCAAGTTCGTCCTCTCCCTTTGTCGCCAAAGACGAAAATACCCCTCAGGCAAAGATTAAACTATTGGAAAAGAAAGTTAATGATCTGCTGGAAGAATCGATCGAAGCCTCTTATCGAAATGAATTTAAATTATCTTTAGATAAAGCGAAACAAGCGATGACCAAAGAAAGGTCACTTTCCCGACAGAAAGAGCAATTGGCCTCAGCGGCAATTTCAGTTTCCATTGAATTAACATTCGCTGTTCTTTTCAATCTCGCAATTCAATATACTCGAAATGAAATGTATTCAGACGCTATAAGTACGTTTCAAACACTCATCAAGAATCGTTCATTTGTTAATTCAGGTAAATCGAATTTCTAAAAAAAATTTACAATCTTAATTGTCATTCTTATTATCAATTATATTCTAATCATTATCGAATAATTTTATCGATTTTGAAATGTCCTTGTTAACGAATCTCAAATAACAAATATCAAGGACAACAGAGAGATGATATAAAATCGTATTGATTACAATGTTTATCAATCATTCAAACTAATCAACAATTGACATTTTCTAATTGCAGGAAGACTTAAACTAAACATCGGAGCAATTTACTATCGACAAGGAAATTATCCTAAAGCAATTAAATTTTTTCGAATGGCTTTAGATCAAATACCGACCTCCCAACGCAATACAAGGTAACCAAGAGAACTAAGAACAAGTTGATTGTAATTAGAATAAGAATAATATGATAATATTGATATTTTAATTTTCTATTTTAACAGAATGAGAATAATGAGAAATATTGGTTTATCTTTCGTCAAACTGAATCAATATTCCGATTCAATTACATCATTCGAATACATCATGTCGGAGAAAGGTGATTTTCGTGATGCTCTGAATCTAATTGTTTGTCATTATGCAATTGGGGATAAAGAGAATATGAAAAAATCGTTTATTAAATTGTTGGAAATATCTGATGTCAACTGTTCATCAGATCGATATGAGATGATTACCGAAGATGATGATAACCTTTCAACGTTAATTTTGGAAGCAATTAAAGTTGATTCACTTCGTAAATGGGAAAGGAACGTAAACAAGAACGAGATTGGTGTATTCTCCTGGCATCACAATTAATTGCCCCAGTGATTGGTGACACTTTTACCCAAGGATACGAATGGTGTGTTGATACCATTCGATCCGCTGGTTACATTGAGATCAGCGATGATATCGAGATAAACAAGGCTGTTAAACACTTGAAGAGACGGGAATTTGCCGAGGCCATTGGAACCCTTAAGACGTTTGAAAAAAAGGAGGGAAAAGCGGCCTCAACCGCTGCGACCAATTTATCATTTTTATATCTATTACAAAACGATCTTGAAACGGCCGATCGTTATGCTAATATAGCGATTGACACGGATCGATTTAATTCCGCTGGATTGGTCAATAAGGGTAATTGTTGTGTTAAATTGAATGACCATGAAAGGGCCAGTTCGTTTTACAAAGAGGCGCTGACCAATGATTCGTCCTGCATCGAGGCTCTTTACAATCTCGCTTTGGCCAATAAAAAGTTAAATCGATTCGATTTAGCCTTAAATTGTCTTCTCAAGATTAACAGTATTCTCCCTAATCATCCAAACGTCCTCTATCAAATTGCTAATATGTAAGTTGTTCAATTATCCATTACATCCGAATGATTTAATATTTATTATCTCTTTAATTGTTAATGATAGTTATGAATTAATGAATGATATGGATT